GAATGGGTTTAAGGCCTATAAACAAGTCATCATAGCGGAAACCCTACCTAGTTGACTGGAGATCCCAAGATCTAGGTTCAAAGGGACAACTAAGTTATGAAGACAGTGTAGAGCACTGTTAAATTTTTACTCATTCCCGGATGAAGACAGTACTAATATGTGAAAGGTTAAGCAAAGGCTTTTAATGATTCTGAATTGAGTATGTGATATACTATATGTTCAGAAATCACCTATGTGAGTGTGAAGTGAGGGCCGCTTCTGTGAGAATTGAAAAGGCCGAATTCTCTAAAACACTCATGAGACCAGGCGGTGTTCATGGCCAAAACGAACACAACAATGAGAACCAATTTTGTTCGAGAAACAGTTGTGTGATTTCTATTATCTAGGCTTACACCAAAGGTCGACAGTTCAAAGACATCAAGTCTACTGATTGACCGGAGTAAGTCCGATAGGTTTCACTAAGGAAAGTTCAAGGTCTCAGACTACTTATCCTGATGCAACGTTTTCTCATGGAATAATCGCACATTGCATCTCATGCATACACGAAGAGTCGTGATATCTGAACTTCTCATTCATGTGGGGGATTGTTGGGATTTGTCACCAAAATCCCATAGAATTGAATGAGAAGTGTGTGGGTGAAAGTGTCCCACATAGGGTAGAAGAGAGATGGAAGATGGGTTCAAATAGTTGAGCCTCACAAATGGGTTTGGGCCCCAAGGGGTACCCCACTTTTGTGGAAGAGAGAGGACCTATGTCAAGCTAGGTCGGTCCACCCCCCGCGCGCGCGCCGCCGCCGCCGTCCGGCTCGGCTCGGTTCCGGGTCCACTCTCTATCGGTTTTTTATTTTTTATTTTTCGAACAGACACGTTGTTTAGAAATTATTTATTTATTTATTTTTTGGACAAACAAACATGTCTGTTCGTGAGGTGAGGTTCGCCCGAACGAAAACCGAAACCCTTTCGTGCGCCTGTTCACGAACCAAACCGGTTCAAGGCTCGGCTCGTGACTGTTCACGTAGAACCGAACGAAATTGTTTGTTCGGTTGGTGACTCTTCAGTTTCATCCTTATATATCCGAAATTCCTTGGTGACTATTCATTATATATATGACGAATTGAACATTTCGAAAGTCTCTGGGCATTTCATATTTTCACGGCATTCTGCTGCACTCTCATTCTTCATCGTAGTCATCTTTTGTGCGATTATTCTGCGAAGTTGCGTTCGAAGATTTCCTTTGAAGAAGTACCGCTTCATAGGAAAGGCGATCCGTTCTATCCTGGGAGGCAATTGTTCAACGACCTTTGGGTACCGGTAGAGGGGACAAATTGTCTTCAGGACACAACGTGAACTCGTTGGGCTCGGATCAATCGTCAAATTCGGATCACTCATTTCAGGTTTGTCAAACAACTTTACTTTATATGCACATACAAACACGTGTATATTGAACAACAAGTTTTTGTAAAATTAAACTAAGAAGAAGAGATTAGAGTCACTATCAACCAGTATTAGGCTGTTGCTTCGGGAACATCTTCTTGAGAATATTGCTGCATCAATAAGTTAGATAGCCAACATTATATTAACGCGATATAACATATTCAAAGACAAAGTATAAGAAAGCATTCATGTCAAGTGCCTCGGAGGCCACAAAAGCTCGGACCACCCGTGCGAACCACAATACTTAACTAAACACGTATTTTGAATTGGTAGTGATTTTCAACGGTAGTAGCTAAATGCAATATTCAGCTGCAACCAAACCATGAGATTTGTACTCAACATTGATTTTTTTTTTTTTAATCTTCGAGAAAAGAATCGCAGAGAACAAGAGAGATACTGAACTGATTATAATTTGATCCAAGCTTTACACTTTTGAGAAAAAAGTGCAGTTTGTCTCTGTTACATTAACTTGACAAATGAAGGATTGGCGATAGCTTCACAGAACTCTTTCCAGAGAACAGCCTACATCCTTTCTGATTTACTTCAAGAAGTCATTAATGGAGCAAGATAGATGGTCGCAAGCCAATGTCAATGTTATGTTCATATGATCGTGCACTCCTGTTCCTAGCAGTAACACTATAACTCCTCTTAAGCCTCTAGCTAATATTAGCAATTGGTTCATCTTCCTTGGCAACATCTTTCTGCTGCCGAGACTCAGCAACCAACAACTCTCCAGCTACACAACTACTCCCTTTAGCAACATATCTTCTCTCACCTCAAAAACGCATCAAACTCAATGTATTCTAATTCTTCCGCTAACCCAATAACCCCAATTCCTATTTTGCTCAGAATAACCCCAATTCCTTTTTCGCTCAACACCTTCTCAGAATCGAGCTATTTGACATATTGAAGCCCTGGACAATGGTATCATCACATCAAAAAGGAAGAAGTGTGAAATTATCCATTGTTAAAGAGGCACTTTTAAACGGGAGAATTATCCAAAAAGTCCTAAACCTATTGCATTTTTACAAATTCTTCATAAACTCTTCAATTTTGCCAATTGAGTCATAAATATTTTTCACTTTTTGCTAATTGAGTCTATCAGACCAATTCTGGCTGAAAATCGCTGACCGATGTAGATAATTTTTAATAATATTTTATTACTTTTTGATTTTTGATTTTTGATTTTTCCTTTTTTTCTTTCTTCTTTTTTTTGGAGAGGCTCAACCTCACCCGGATCTGGCGAGGAGGCTCGGCCAACCTCGCCGCCCCAGGCGAGGCTCGCCCTCACCAATGGCCAGCGAGAGTGAGCTTTGCCAGAGGCCAACAAGGTCAACCTCGCTGGCCCTCTCCTCTGGCTAATCGTCAAACTGCCAGAGGGAAGAGATACGCAGAAAAAAAAAAAGAGAAAGAAAAGAAAAACGAAACAAAATGAATAACTAAATAAATAAATTCGAATAAATATTACAATATTATTAAAAAATGTTCACGTCAGCACCGGCGACGCCACATAGGACAGTTGATATCCACATCAGCAATTTATGACTAAAATTGACCAAATATACTCAATTAATAAAATTAAAAGGTTTAGGATTGATTGCCAAAAGCGCAACAGGTTTATGACTTTTTGGATAATTTTCCCCACTTTAAACACTTGGATCAGAAAAATAGGGGAGAAGAGAGGCACGGCTGGCGAGACTGGAAGCAACGAACAGTGGCGACAACGTCCGGAGAGTGATGGAAAAGGATTACCAACAATCGAACTTCAAAAATCCTCAAGAGAGGATTCCTCCATGAGATCCGTGTCTATGCTCTGTTTTGGCTGCAATGAGCTCGACGTGGCCGCGATGGAGATTTGATGGTAGGTGATGGCGTTTGGAGATGGTGGACGGTGGATTGAAGGTAATCAAGAGGGAATCAAGATTAACAACTGTCTTTGAATCTTCCTTGTTCGTTTAAAAAATCTCCATTTCTCGTGCCTTTTCAATTCCTCATTTACTATGCTTTCGAACTTATTGCTCCTTCCGACAAAAAAAAAAAAACTTATTGCTCCAATTGACAAATTGTCCTCCGGTCTCCACCGCTAACTTGCCGTATCTTTGCAAACAGTATAATTGAAGATCGCAACATTCGATTGAAGGTGAAAGTAGGGTAATTACTGTTGGAGTTGGCGAATACTTCGGGGACCCTTGTTTCTCACACCGGGTACGCCCACGTGAGCTTAGGGAAACTGAAGTGTTGTCCGACGACATGTGACCCATGCGTGCGGAATGCGGGGCTTCGGGCGGCGCCCTCGACACGGTGCCTCCCATTGCCGGTCGGAGGCGGGGTTCGGGCGCGCCCGGCGGGGGTTCCATTGCCGGTCATGGATTTCCGCTCGCCGTGAGCGGGCGGGGCTCGGGGCGGCGCCCAAACCTCAACGGGTTTGGGGGGCCCAGTATAGTGCGAGATTAAGAGATTTCATATAGGTTTAGGTTTTGGGCCCGTTTGGGGCATATATATATTTTGCTTCGTTTTCGATCATTGTAACGAGTTGAGTGGCTATAAACCTAAAAACATAGTGAAATCTCTTTGCGGGACGTAACCCTAATCGAGGGTGAACCTGGGTAAATTCGTGCATCGTCTATTTTCTCTGTTTTCTGCGTGATCGTTCTATTTCGGTTCTCGATACGTCTCTTCAATTACTTCCATAGCAGCAATGCCAAGTCCTTCAATCACCCGAAGCTAAGGAAGCAGATGAGGTTACTGTATATCTCTGATTGAGTAGTTCCAGTTGTCATGCTCTAATATGTTTTAATTTCCTGGGACTTTTTGGAAACCTTAAATTTAACGCGAAGCACATGTTACAGGTGCTAAAGTAGTTGGTGGGTGGAGGTGGTGGGGCAAGCCAGAAAGCGAATTGCACGAACGCGTCCAATCTCGTATGCGACGCATTTCCCTGTTTCCTCCGCATAAAGGAGGGTGGACATGATCGGATATTTTAGGCCATGCGAAAAATGAGGCTCTCTTCATCTTGCTCCTTTTTCATCTCCTGTCCATATCCACCTTTGTCCCCTGTCTGTGCTCCTTCCCCTCTCGTCCATGGATATCTTTCTTTTGCTCGATTCCTTCAAATCATCCCGCCTTGCTCTGTGATTCACATGAATTCACAGTTGTGATGGACCCGCCATGATACCAAAACTGGCTCCGAGCAAAGAACAGGCATGCATGACGGACCAAGCGATTTTAGATACTGTATAATATGCAAATAATTCCGTGACGTCGCTCAGGCTGCTGATATTCAATATGGTTCTTCATATGCTTATGTTGTTAGCGTGTTGCACTGTTGAAATCAAGAGAAAGATGTATTGAGAGTGAATCCCCACGCACATGCTTATGCTTTGGAAGAAGGACAAGGAGTGTCGGTCCCGAAACCATTAATCAACACAACGCAAGCATCACTAAACAAACCTGAGTTGTTCGTGGAAATACTTAACAATATCAGGGATGTTTGGGCAGTACTTTCTCGCACAATCCATGATAGATCGTGCTCCTTATTTAAAGAGGAGAAGTTTTCTTCAGCGACTCTGGTCAAAGAGCTGATATTATTTAATAACATAGTTTCCTCTTCAAGGAAAAGAAGACGGGGAAATGAAAAAGAAAAAAAGAACTGAGAAGATACACTAATGCACAAAGCCTAGCTGCTGATCTTCTCTTCTTACCGGCTATAGCTACGTACATTACATAAGTACACACCCATTACCCAGCATATTTGAAATACCACGGGATAGGGACAACGACTAAATAAACGGGGCTCTTGAGAAGCAACACTGAGAGAATGCGTACTCTCTCTCTCCGATTTCTACGACCGTCATAGTTCTAGTGCTCGAAGAAGTGCAGCTCTGAGATCTTCCTCGCCTTTGAGCCCCTCCGGAACCCTAACCACCGCGTCTTGGAGCATGAGTTCGTTCACTGTCGACATGCTGGCGTGGTGTATGTGGAGCTCCAGGTCCCGCATCGCCGCCATCAACCTAGCCGACGGGTAGTTCGCATTCTCCGACTGGACCCTTATCATGGCGTCGCACCCCACGATCTTAACCTCCACTTCGAGCAAAGAACCGCCGCATCCGGACGGGCTACTGTGGTCGACGGAGGTGGTGGTGCTCAGGTTGTCGGTTGCGTCGGTGACCTCCTGTTTGACCTTCTTGGACTCTCTCTGTAACTGGGACTCCAGGTCGCCGATCTTGGACTTGAGCTCGTTGATGTAGGACACTGCGTCGGAGAGCAGGGACGCCTTGTCCATCCTGGACACGTTTGGGACCACCGCTCGCAGCGCATAGAAGCGGTGGTTCAGCTTCTCACGGCGCTGCCGTTCGGCTTCCACGTGGTTCAGAGGCGTGTCGCGACCGAGGCCCGGCTTCCTGCCTCTCTTCTTTGGGGTCCTCTTCTCGGTCATCACCACCGCCATGAAAGGACTATCGGAATCGGAGTGCTCCGACTCCACCAGGTAGCTGGAAGAACCGAACGGGGCCTCTGGCTTCCCACCAGTTCCTTCCAGCGGCAGTTGCTTCTTCTTGACCTTCTTCTGGTGGTCATCCTGAGAAGCAAAATCATTCTCTTGAACGCCCGCAATTATTCCAATGTCAGCGAAAGAAATGTCGCTACGGTCCTGGTGGAGCTGGAACGGAGGCGGTGGTGGGTGCTTGGGAAGGAGCAGATCGGAGCCGAAAAGAGACTTGGCTCGCTGAACAAGGCCCCAGTTTTCAGGGATGACATCGCAAGAACCCAATTCAAGGACTCCATCACCGGTCGGGATGCAGACCAGGGTGCGGATGCCATGGAGCTCGGCCTCCTTGGTCCGGTCGCACTTGTACAACTCAAGTTCGCGAGCGCCGGTCAGCCAGACCAAGGACCCCGTGCTCAGGGCCTTCCCGGGAATACCATCTCCCGCCGAGAAAGAGCGCGTCAAGGACATGACGTAGAACCACTCGGCATCGGTCACGTCTCCGGCGGGGGCGGGGACATCGGCATCGGCAGCAACTGGGCGACCGTTGCTGGGGTCGCGAGGCAGGGATTGGAGGAGCTTCCTGCGGTCGGAGCGGGAGGCGGGAGCGAGCTTGGCGGAGCCTTGGAAGTGGCCGTCGCCCCAAGCGAGGAGGAGGCGACCGTCGTCGTGGTCGAGGAGTTGCCAGAAGATGGCATAAGCCCAGCACTGGGGCTGGCTCTGCACCATAAGCTGAAGCCTCTGCTGGAGGGTGAGGCCGAGGCTGGGAGGAGGAGCGGCGGTGGGAGACATGGAGTTGGACACTAGGGAAGGAGATGAAGAGGGAGGAGAGAGAATCAGCTCTTCCATCACCAACTATAAGCCTTAGACTTGCCCTGCGTGGGGAAGGGAGGGCTCGCGCACAGAGAGAGAGAGGGAGGGAGGGAGGGAGGGAGGGAGGTTAGAGTTTCTTTTTTGGTACAGATGGGGCAAAGGTAAGTGCCAAAAGTAAGCGAATTACGAGAATTGGCAAGAAAATTTACAAGCACACATGAACATGGACCTGGAGTGTCCATATGTATCAATTCGGGTGACGTGTGCGGGAACGGAGAGTCACAGATCGAGAGAGAGAGAGAGAGAGAGTCTGAACAACGACAATGGAAAGCAAAGGAAAGGAAAGGGTCGTACGTGTGAGACAGTGACGAGGACGGAGGGTCGTACGTGTGAGACAGTGACGAGGACGGAGGGAGAGAGAGAGAGAGAGAGATACAAGTGGGAAATGGTGTGTTTCGGGGGATGGTCGTGGTGGTGGTGGGGCCGAGAATTTTTGCAAAATATGCATCGCACAGTCAAAATAAAATAAAATAGAATATACTAAACGGGCACGTGAAATAATGGCCAAACAGGCCCATCACTTCCTCTCCTCCTCCGTATGACTTTGGTCTTATTCATCAATGGCGAAGGGGGTCATTTATTTCTTGTAGTTTCCCATGGATCTACTTCTTCATCAGCGAACAATTTCTGTGAAAGAAACGAATCCCCACATGCAATGTGACCCTCCCCAGACACTCCAAACTCACCCCTGGTCCCTTGATATGAGATGGGTCTGTCTTTTCCTTCTATCACGCTTTTTATTGGTGAGTTACTGTCGTCAACACCGCTTCTATTTAGATTTTTATAAGAGACACAAACGATAATATTTTGAAAAATATTTTTTAAGATGTTTATTTTCCGCGAAAAAAACGTGCCCTTAATGCAATCCACCTAGAGTGACTCTCCCTTGTCGATCAAGTGTGGTCCTGCTTTAGGAATATGTGTCATTTAATATTGTTGCGCATGTCTAAGGGAGGATCAGAAATCGCGATCATCCTTTTCTAATAAAAATGGGGGGCGCATTCAGACCTTTGCTTCTATTTTACAACTTGGTGCTTTGAAGAAAAATTATACAAGTAGTCACATCTGCTTTAGTCGACACCCCCATCATCCCAGCCACTTGAACAAAATAAGTGTGTAATTAACCTACCACGTGCATGAAATTTACCTAATTTTTTATATAATCTCTTCTGAATTCTAATGCAAATCCCATTATGTCTTGATAAAGACATAATAAGATACGATTTAGATAAGTCTAGTGAACTAATCATAGCCGTAATTCTTGCTTTCGTTGAAAACATAAGTAATGCGAGGCCGGGGATAAAAGAACTAAACAAGTGTGGTCCACCCAGATATTCGCTCTTCGGCCGCAATCACACGCATTTTTATGATAAACTCCTATGCACAAAGGACTTAAAAAAAATTCTATAGCCGATAAGCAAATGACTTTTGAGCTGAGTTATTTTTTATAGGGTTAATACCACCAAAAACCTCAAACTAATATACCTATGATAAATTTACCCCAAACTAATTTTTTGATCACGAAAAACCCCAAACCGGTATACCCATGATAATTTTACCCCGAACTAATTTTTTGACCACGAAAAACTTCAAACTGGTGCATTTGTGATAATTTTACCCCGAACTAATTTTTGACCACCAAAAATCTTAAACTGATATATTTATGACAAATTTACTCTCTGTTAGTTTTCGTAAAATTCTATTGTCAAATTGCTGAGTTTAATGACACGTGGTAGTTAACAGGTATACTAATTTGGGGTTTTACTCCTCTGTTTGTCACAAGTTTACGAATTTGTGATTTTTTATGATTTAATCCAATTTAACATGAGGTAAATTTGTCACAAATGTACAAGTTTGGGGTTTTTTGTGATAAAAAATTGTCACATGTGTACCAGCTATGAGTTTTTCGTGGTAAAAAAATTAGTTCGGGATAAAATTATCACTGGTGTACCGGTTTAGGATTTTTCACGGTCAAATTTGTCACAGGTGTACCAGTTTGAAATTTTTCGTGGTCAAAAAATTAGTTCGGGGTAAAATTATCACAGGTGTACCAGTTTAGTGTTTTTCGTTGTATTAACCCTTATTTATATTAGTGGGAGCTATTATGACGAGATGGCAACGTATACGCTACCTACCAAAGGCTAAATATGTGCATTAAACGTCAGTGTTTTCACAATTAAAAAAAATGGAAAATGATGAAATGCGACAAGTTAAAGAAATTAAGTCGCGTAAAAAAAAATCGGAATACACACTTAATTAGCACCACATTGTTGGTAGATTTTATCAGTTTAGGGTGTTTTTTGTACGTCTAAGTACTTCAAAAAGAGAAAGTGGAAAAACCTCAAACTATGGTCATTATAACACATTTATCATAAATTTGTATTTCATGACACCATAAACCTCAAACGTATACCCATGTGATACATTTACCCCAAATTTCTTTCTATTGTATCCGTATAACACATTCATCACAAATTTGTATTCGTGAGGCACATTTACCATTCGTCAAAATTCCATTAAAAATCTTACGTGGCTGCCTACATTTAGACGACGACAAGGAAATGTTAGCACTCATGTGGCAAAAATATGTCAACTCATTGTATGTTTTTTTTCTCATTTTCTTTTTCCTTTTTTTCTAAACTTCCTCCTTCTTTTCTTCTTTCATTTGGCGATAGTGAGGACGGTGGCGATGACGATGGTAAGGGTGGCTGTGGCGGTGAAGGTAGTGGTAAAGACGAAGGAGGAAGGAAAAAAAGAAAAAAGGAAAAAAAAATTTGACGAAGGGTAAATATGTGGCACGGGTCTAAGTTTGAAATTTTTCATATCATAAAAAATTTGGGGTAAATGTGTCACATAAATACAAATCGAAGATTTTTTGTGTCAAAAAAAGTTACGAGTAAATGTGTCACACAGTTCGACCAAAAAAAAAATGTGTCACACAAATACAAATTTAGAGTAAATTTGAGACAATGGTCCAAATTTGAGATTTTTTGTGTCACGAAAAAGAGTTTGACAAAAATGTGTCACAGTGGACATAATTTGAGATTTTTTGTGACTTTTACCAAAAGAGATATTATCTCTTACAAAGACTCTCCATACACTATTTCATTAACCGTCTAAAAAGCTTTTTCATAGTGATTAAGTAGCAATTCTCACATGATTTCCCAGCCAAATTTGATGGCAATTTTGCAAGGAAAATTGTCCAAAAAGTCATAAACCTATTGCATCTTTTTTCAATTCAATCATAAATCTTTCAATTTTTCCAATTGAATCCATCCGGAAAATTTTGGCCAGAAATCACCGACGTGACGTTGCTGACGTTGACATAGACAATTTTTATTAATATTTTATTAATTTTTCAATATTTTTTTTTCTTTTCTTTTTTGTTCTACCCTTCTCCCCTCTCGTGGACCAAAGGGGAGAAGGGCAGAAAAAAAAAAGAGAAAAAAATAAAAAGGAAAAAAGGAATAAATAAATCAAAAAATAAAATAAAATATTATTAAAAATTGTCCACGTCAACACCGGCGACACCACGTCAGCGATTTCCGGCTAAAATTTGCCGAATGGACTCAATTGGGCAAAAAGTGAAAAAGTTTAGGACTCAATTGACAAAATTGAAAGATTTATGACTAAATTGCAAAAATTGCAATATGTTTAGGACTTTTTGAACAATTTTCCGCAATTTTGAATCAGTTCAGTCAAATATAGATCACACATTCATAAAATTTCCTGTTAATTCATCAATTTTTTAAAAAGCAATCCAAAATTATTCGCGGTCCTGTAAGATTTCTCATACATGAAAATACTAATCCATCTTTCTTTTTCTCCTTAATCTTGGATTAATTCATTTTCTCCTAAATCATAAGCAAAGGATCAAACAATTCCCCTTATTTCACTTTAGACCTAAAGTTTAAATTGTATTGAGCTCCTTCTTTCAATGAGAAGGGAGACCACAATTCAATGGCAAAATTAATAATTGCGCGCTCTTGCTTTGCAGTAGCATCTAGTACCAACAAGGCATTCGCATCATGATTATACACGATTCCGAAACACGTGCTTCAATGACAAATTAAACAAATCATTGCATTCTCTCTTTCACATGCACGCAACAATTGATGGATTTTCATATAACACAATAAGTACTAGATGACGCTATAATGAGATTCGACCGTTGCATCTTTTATTAGGTTTCTTCACTCTACTAGAGTTAACAACTTTTATTTGTCTGAACTACCAAACCTTTTAATTTAGCAACTCTCTTTAGAAATTAACGACTCTTATTGGAGCTATTACCAACTTTTATTCATATCAAGTGATCGATAAGTTTTGCATTACCAGTTCTTGTTTGAGTTAATTACTGACATTTGATTGGTTTGTTTAAATCATAATCTTTTCTCATTTTTGACGAAAAATCTCTTATCATTTATAAATTTCTGTGTACCATTTTCACTAACACTTGCAACTATTATATGAGTTTTTAATTTGTATTGAAGGGGTTAACTGTTTTTCTCTCGTTATATTACCAATTAATTCTGTGCTGTCAACTCTCATTTGAATTGCTTATTACCAAAATTTCTTTATTTTTGTTTACCGCATCTGCTTGCTTTTTAAATTTTACCAACTCTTTTTTAACTACCAACCACAATTCGAGTGATTACTGAGTTTTTTTTCGATCAAGTTACCAACTAATTTTGCACTACCAACTTCTATTTAAGTTAGTTACCAATGTTTATCTAGTTTTGCTTAAAATACTAACTTCTCTTATCTGTGATCAAGGAAAACTTCAACCCTATTTATTTACCTTTCATACCAACAACTTACGTTTACTAACCATTATATGACATTATCAACCTTTATTTGCGTGATTTACAAAGTTTTGGTCAATTACATTACCGATTGAGGTTGTGTTACCAACTTTGTTTGTTTGTTTCTTAATCTACTGAATGGTATATTGTGCTACCACTTTTCTTGACCCTACTAACTAACTTTTTCAATTTACTCAGTGTCAATTAGAGTGATTATCATTTTTTTTCGATCAAGTTTACCAACGTTTATTTATATTTTTAATATCAACTTCTCTTATCTCTGATAAAAAAAAATTTCTTATCTTTTACAACTTTTGTAAGTAAAAAAGAATGAAGGTACATATCGTGTCATTTTTGGTCATTTTCTAGATTGATGTTAGTACATCCACTTGCGTTTCCAAGAAATGTAATTTTTTTGCCTTCATGGGTGAGGTTATATGTTAGTTTAATAGTTGATAATTAAACCCACTACAAGTATTCATTTTAATTCCTTGTCATAAATAAACTGATATTCAAGATGAAACATATCAGTTGACAAAATAACCTTAGCAAAGTTGGTGGTGGTGAAAAAATTTCAAATGAAGGAACCAAAAAGTCTTTTTTTCTCCCTCTCTTTTCTCTCCATCGTCTTCTTCAACCTCCGGTCATGGAGAGAGGGTTTGAGTTAGTCTCACCCTCCCCTCCCTCTCTTGTTGATTTTGTTTGTGCTTTATTATTGTTATCTTGTTTCTCGTTTTAGTTCTACTTCTGAGAATTTGAACTTTCCCAATCTAGTTCTAGATCTATGAGCTATTCTCTCTCGATCTAAATTTGGAATTCGATATCCCTATGCTTTGTCCGTCCTTTGCCTGCAACTTTAATGGTGGTCACAAGAATTCTGGCGTCTCGCTGAATCACGAAGATTTGTTCTTCCAAATGGTAGATATGTGTTTGTTTTACCTGTTTTGGTTCTCTTTACGACAATGGTGCAAAGAAAGCCGAATCTAGGCGTGCACCACCAACTAGCAACGCCGTAGTTATTCGAAAAGGAATTTCTGACATGTACTCATCACTAACGAAGATACGAGATCCAATGGTCGGCCGCCGATTATTTTGCTTAACAGATCCGTTCATGTGGAATGATTGTGTGTTTAACCCTATTGGATTTGGCTTTATTTTGTAGTATTCTGGGCTTTACTCTATTTTGATTTGCTTTGCCATGAAATTTGTATACTTATCATGTATCCATTTGAGTAATAATATAATTTTCTTTTGATAAAAAAAAGTTGGTGAGATGAGAATTTGCTTTTTTGTTTGAAACCTAATATACCATGATATACACGTGTGTATAATTTACTTTTTTGTTTCAAATTTTGAAAGCAACGGGGATGCTCTAGAGTAGCGTTAGGTTAGGCAAGGGTAGAATCATTGACAATGGAAAAAGAGATTTCCGAAATTATTATTCTGATGAATAAATTAGTACGGATAAACGATTAACTCGCAGCGTCGGGATGTACGCCGTTAATTTCAGTCAAATTGGACAAGGTGAATTGAATGAGTCTATAGTTCTCCAAAGGTACAGTGCCCTTATAATCTTTCATCGTGCAAACAACTGTAAAGACTAGAAACTCACCCGAATTTGAATATCGTCCAACTTTCGTAAGCGCTTACTTGGTTGCATAAGATTTTTTTGGTGGACATGTACACACTATCTCGTGTTTAATTTTGCTGTTAAGGGTGGCAAGAGTCCCCAGGTGGAACTGGTGGAAGTGCATACAGAATCAGATGGGCGCAACCTGCAATTGCACTGTGTTTTCTGGGTATGTGTCTGAACATTTGTGTATAACATGGGGTCACCATCTCCCTTCTCTTCGCTTATGCTTCACCATCAATAATTCCATAATTTATACAACTCGAAACTCTTGTTTTTGACAATATGTTAAACTCTCACTCACTCTCTCTCTCTCTCTGTCTCTCTCTGTGGGGACCTTTGGACTTTGTGGAGGAAAATGGCAGGCACCATCGGCCCCACCTGCACCCTTGGCCATTTCAAAGGGCAGACCTTTTGTATTAGCCTCGTGCTCTATGTAAATTTTGTCAATTACCCGCACAAGACTCCGCCCCCAAGAGACATCCATTCCAGACCCACTTCAACCGCACGATCCGTTCTTTATATGTGTTCTTCAAGCTCGGCCAAAATTTTAAGGTTTGGAAACATAAGAAAGCAGGAGAACATAAGGAAAAGACGCGATGTGCTACGTGTGCGGTTCATCTATTCGTTCTCTGCTCTATTGGAGGAACCCAATAATGTTGACAGCATGAGTATTAAAGGCACAAGAAAGCGAAAGAGAGAGGGACAGTTCGATGGAACCGTACCCCCCCCCCCCCCGTCTAATCTAATCCCTCTGTCTACTGTGCCCCACGTGAATCTCGTTAAAGGTGGAGACTTCACAAGCTTCCAGAGGCGTTTTCCCACCCCCAATTGCCTAGTAGTCGTAGATTGATAAGCAACTTGCTTGAGTCGTTCGGCACAGCTGCTTGCAAGTTTCTCTCCTAATCACGTCTTAATCCAACAACCCTTTGTTTCTCGTCGTGGACCTACAGGAGCAGGACAAAGTAGATGGACTTGAGAACTGATATCAATAGTGAATTATCGAGAGAAAAGTATCAGAAAAGCCATCAACTTTTTTTCATTGGTGTCAGTTTAGTCATAAATCTTTTTTTTGGTGTCAATTCAGTCTTAAACCTTTTGTCTTTGTGCCAATTCAGTCATTCCGACTAGTTTTGACCGGATATTACTGACGTGGACGCTGACCGACCTACGTGGTACCGCCGGCGATGGCGTTGACAAATTCTAATAATATTTTAGTATTTTCCAATTTTTTTTTCTTTCCCTTTCTTCTTGCCTGGCTGGAGGCCAGGGCCGACGGACGCGAGGCTGCCCTCGCCGGCCATGGGTGACGCCCGACCTCGCTAGATCCGGCAAGGTCGTGCCTCGCCTAGCCGCTAGCGGGGCTCGCCGGCCTTGGCCTCCAGTTGATCGCTGGACCGGCGATTGGCTAGAGGAAGAAGAAAGGGAAAGAAAAAAAATAAAAAGAAAGAAAAGACAAAAAGAAAAAGAAAAAGAAAAAGATCGAAAAATATTAAAATATTATTGAAAGTTGTCTACATTATCGCCGGCGTCCACGACAGCAATATCATGCCAAAATTAGCCGAAAGGACTAAATTGGCACAAAGACAAAAAGTTTATGATTGAATTGACATAAAAAAAAAGGTTTATGACTAAATTAGCGCAAATGCAAAAGGTTTATGACTTTTTTGATATTTTTTCCGAATTATCGAAGACCATTCTATCACGGGCCACCCACACTGATGGCCAGGCTCGAATATTTGGGCCATCCAGTTGGGCCAATTTGATTGACTTCCCTGGCCTCACCAGTCACAAAGTCACAGCCATCCATCCCATTCCATCAGCCTTTCAGACATGGTATGGTTAACCCACACAATTTGAGGCTCTATCGCCCCACACTTCTTATCCACACCACACAGGTCACACACAGTTACACACAGCTTCTCTAAATTACTGCATTCCCACGTTTTGTATCTTTGGCTACTCATATTACTTACACAATACAAACGGCAATGAACTGACACACGTACCAACGCTTACATCTCATGCCCAAGTTTCTCCTTCCCCACCTCCTCTACTATTTACAGTCCCGTAACTTCTCGTCTTCTTCGCTGGCTTGCTCAACTGGAACACCGGGTGCCTGCACAACTTCCTCACTCCTTTTCTCAAACTCAGCCAGTCCCCGCTCCCATCTTCTACGTCTCCAGCCTCCAACCTAGCCACGGTGCCGCTACTTGACGACTCCATCTCCTCCTCTTTGACACTTCCCGTTTGGCATCCTGCAGATCCCTTCTTTGTTGATGTTTCCAACTCATCCAATGTGCCGCCGTTCAAGTGATTCATTGCCACTGGCCCCTCGACTAAACGAGCACCCGGAGTTTGATCATGAGATCTGTGTCCGTCTGAGATCATTGCGGGATGGTCGATGATTTCATTGCTCGGACAATTCAAGGACAGCAGAGGCAACCTGACCTTGCGAACTGTTTCTTCCCTCTCTCTGAGTGTCTTTAAGATGAGCGTCTTGAGGAAGTTCATCACTTGCACTGCATGAATCAATGCAGTCAAGGGATCGGCCATCTGCAACAGGTAGACACGACGGAGAATGAGATGCCATTGGATGACAATAGGTAAAGCTTGCATCTTTCAACAACTGAAAGCTACAAAGTGTCGAATTGCATAGTCCTCAAGTAACACTAAGACTAATACTCCATCCATAAGGCATGGAAAATGATAATAATATACGCATCTCGATCACCTGAGTCATGTTGGGTGCAAAAACCATGGCGATATTCCGCGCGTTCATCTTGTTGTGTGTCTCATGCTGCACCACGTCGGCCATCAAGTTGATGGCCCAGTCAAGCAGGGCTGATTCTGTTGGAGGGAGTAATTTTACTAGCCGACTACACTCTTCTTCTGTGTTGCAGTGCATAACTTGTTCCGGTGTGAGAGAATCAAGAACCCCCGTTGGAAGCTCTCTGAGCCATGCCTGCATCAAATGGCACTCCCAGTGACTAAACTCGGTCAATAAACATACACAAAACAAATGTCTCAGATGCATTCCAAGAATTTTATTCGGCAAAGTGGTCTCATCTATCCATCATATCATGCCTTTCTAACAGATTCACTCTAGAGACATATTCCTTCTAAGAAGCCTCAAATCCACTGCACTTGAAAGTGCATCCCGCAGTAAGAGTATGGACTTTAGGGAAGCAAGTCCAGTCTAAGTTGTGTAGCCAAAAAGGATGTTTGTTTATATAAGATAAATGGACACGGACCGTTTTACTTCTAAAAGTAGTTGATGCCTACAGATGAGGAAAACACACACAAAAAACATGCCTGGCAGAAAATTAGATCAACTTGCGCAGCCAAGACGAGAGCAGAATTAAGATTCAGAATCGGTTCATTCACCGCTGACTCGGAAGGCATGGAAGTCAGTGGCTAGTTGAGTCGAGTTCATATATTCAACCCCATGTATCAACAAAATATAAAAGAGTGCAAGTAATTTTGACAACGGAACTTCTTATAAGTTCAATGATGATGGCCTCTTGCTTACCTTAATTAAACCAGCCAAACAGTGAACATCTATTCCATGAGGCACAACACCTTTGTTGAGCTGTTCCCTTACGTACTCTTCTTGACTATTCTCTGCATTTATTCTGAATATTCCTTCTGCCTTCAATGAAGATGGGCACCGGTTAAAATGTTGAAGTCACAGGAAAAAAGAAGTTCCCACCACAATTTAGCAATAATTTCATCCAGAGTAAAAAGAAGATCATACTTTCAACCCTCCTTCCGCATATAGTCGCCTTTGCATCATTAGAAGAATTGTTGGTACGCTGTTCCCTCTCTCATCATATGAACACTGCATTGACTTGGCAGAAACTCCAAATACGCTGGCACTGAAAAGACAAGTATTACAAGGTAATTTTCAGAATGATCACCATTGGTTGAGTGAGTTAATTGAAGCAAAGACTACAGAGTACACCCTATCAATTGGAGAAGCATTAAATCCCAACCGGACACCATACAATGCTGAATTTCAGAATTCTATCGTCAAACATCATGTTCGTCTTATGAGCGATTCTAGCTAGTTGAGCATAAGTGTGTCAAACTGTCAATGAATCTCCCTGAAAAAAGATCTGCAGAAGAACTACTGATATACCTAGCAATTAATAGCCAACCCAGGCATATATAGCTCTCATGCCAAAGACGTGAGGCAAAAATTTAAGTAGACTATGTATCAGAAGATGTTTCTTCACTGTACTGTCTTCTGTTGACGTATATATGTCTTTGCAACCATATCTTCCAGGGGAATATTTCACAGAGTCACCTTTTCTGCTATCAATAACGCGATTTGGTATACAACTCTATGCTTCGGTCCTTATGGAAAAGGAGAAGCGTTATATGCTTGTTTTCTCGAGAAACCTCATTGTTCTAGTCTTCCTTCTAATGGGTTTAGTAAATTTTCGCATCCTCATCCAATGAAAAGTAATTTCAACGGATATTTGATCAATTGCACGAAATCCAATAAATGGAGTCTTTATGGATGATGAAGAATTTAATATTTGGCTGTATTCAATGCCAATCTCCCATTAATCAAACTGATAAAAAGATCTTCAGCATGAAAGGTCGGGACACCCTGCTCTGAATTTCAAGAAGCACACAAGCTAGACAGGGTTCTACTTGTACAAACAAAACCAGTCACCTAAGCTATTATGACCTGGGGAAATTAGTATAATGTCGTCATCGAGATTCAGAGCAACGGACAATCTCATTAATGAAAGTGGATCATGCACTAGCTCGCTCTTGTGGTGTTCATCTAATCTGATCAACAAAAACGCAACAGCATCTTCCACTTAACACGGTGTGCTGCGTTCATTCAAAACGCACGGAACGAGAACGGGCAAAGGAATGCAGGGATGAGACTAAGATTCACGTTAACTCAATAGCAAGAACAACAATCAAGAACTTTCCACGAGCGAATTAAAGCAGAGACCCTCAGAGAGAAACGAACCTGGCACTAGGGACCTTGGGAGGGAGGTGCGGCCGGAGCTCGGTGGGGAGGCCGAGGAAGCCATTGAAGCGGTCGAAAGTGACGTGGGAGACGTGGCGGACCTCTGTAGGCCAGCTGATGTCAGTGGAGGAGAGCTCGTCTCTCTCCACGCTGCATGTCACCAGCGACTTCCTCAACACTCCCACCAGAATGTCCAGTATCGGCATCTGCTGCTGCCTCTCCCACTTTCTTCCTCCACCGCCTCCATTCTTTCCCATGTATTCGTCTTCCTCTTCCGCTTCCTCCTCTTCCTCCTCTTCCTCCTCCTCCTCCTCCTCTTCTTCCTCCTCCTCCTCCTCCTCCTCCTCTTCTTCTTCTTCCTCGTCGTACTCTACCACGTCGATGCAGTCGTTGGCAGAAATGTGGAAGAGAGGTCTCGGCTGAGCCCTGTTGAACTCTGTCGTTCCCAGGAGTCCACAAGATTTGGATCGAAAGAGCCTCGTCATCCCCTGACTCTCTCCTCTTTCCCGCGGGTGAAGAAAAGAAGGATCCGAACGTGAAGGGAAGGGAAGGGTTTCGGGATTCTGATGGAGAAATCCAGCAAGAAAGAAGAAGATTACAGGGGGGATAAGAAAGTGCAAGGAGGAGAGAAAGAAGCTATAAGAGAGACTACCGGGGTGGAATAAAGTTGAGGGACTGGGAAAGAGAAGCAAGAAATATAGGGTGGATTTGGTGGTGAAGAGGTTGAATCATACAAACTATGCACTGCAAGGAAAGGAAGTCTAAAATTTGGAAGCAAAGCAATGGATTAGGGAGGGGTGGTAATGCTATTATTGTGCAGTAGCAAACATCTTTTTGTATCGTAAAATATTAAAAAGGGTGCATGTGGATTGTTTTTTCTCTGTCATTTTCTTTTGGTCTAGTTTTGGTGATGCAGGGTTGTGAATGAGAGGAGGGAAGGGTGAGAAGCTCTTCTCGTGAATGAGAAGGCTACATGACAGGGACTTGGAGCCAGAGCCAGAGCCAGGCAGCCTCCATGGAAGTGAGCGAGCCTCTATCGCTGTAAAAAAGATAAAAAAAACAAAGACAGTAGATTCGTACTCTCATCTCGTCACATGCATTACTTCTACCCACACACGATAGAATGGCAGTGTTGTTATGTATATATGTTCACCCATCTCGCACAAATAGTTAGTGAAGCGAGTGTGGGGGATGCGATGGGGATACCCTGCTTGTTTCGTGTATTTTTAACCAAAAGACACCAAAGTAGAGTCACATGGCCACATGGCCTGTTCCCTCTTTCTGTCTTTCTCTTCCATCCATGAGGATTCACGTTCTTTAATCCAAGCTCTTAGAAATCTCTAATGGAGATGGAGTAAATGAGCAATAAATAGGACCATCCACCGGCAGGACCATTTTCGTTCCGTATCCATCGCTCCATGAATTCGAGAGTTTTTTTAGGAAGAGGTTAAAACAGGGAGCAGATGCTCCAAAGTCAACCGATGCAGACTAGAGATATATCACCCATCCCCTTCCTCGTCTTCGTATCATTATTTGAATAGGAAAATAACCCATCGCCAGAGTCGCCAATGCCACCGCTGGATGTCGATCCTACAGTGATCTGTGCTCCCTTCTTCGCCCCAATTATTAGATTAATCTTCACGGGGGAAGACACGCTGTTTAATGTTCATAATGTTAGCGCGTGGCTTCTACCTCGAAATGTTCAGTTTAGTTGCATTATATTCACGGGCATAATCTATTCATTGCTCAATCCCTATATATTATCCATCCCCTTGGTCTTCTTGCCCACAAACCAAAAAGATATATAGGGTTTTAGTGCCTGAGCATTTTAGTAAAGCTTCAGCATTTACCTGTATACCTTAGTCAATGGATCCTACGTTATCTTATTTGGATGGACTTGCCACTTGGAAACTTGGAGGGATAGCTAGCTTCAGCCGTGGAGCTCCCTCTCTCCTCTCTATGGTAGATTGGCTAACAGCACAAAGGTTTTTTTTTTTAAAAACGAGTTCAACAAAACAATTAGAAATTGCGGGACTCTGTGATTGGCCCTTTACGTCATGCCCAAGTTTCCTTGGAACCTCCAAATGGAAAGGTCATCGCCAAGCTACGGAATCGAAGACCTAGTAGAGCTTTCCATACGTCAGCTTTACCAATATCGCTCGACCCTTTTACCGTTTCAAAGGCATGATTGCAGATCCGTCAGAACGAAATCCATCGCTTGTATGTGATCAGATTATCTTATCATGTTGGATTGGAAAGGAGACCCCTGGGACCATCTTTGTACTCATACCTCCGATATTAGCTAGTGGGGGTTGGCTAGGCTTAGGCTGCAGATAAACACTTTGTGTTAATTTATGGCCAGGAGGCGCAACCAACATCCCATCATGGTGTCGTGATAATGACTAAACATTTGCAACATAAACGTCCCAACCAACCAAACGCTCCTCTATTCCATCCTATCTTCTTTTAAAGGAGCCCCACAGACCGTAGCTTATAAAGACACGCCGCGGCAAATATGCTTTGACGTTTTTGGACGTGTGCTGTTGCCGGTGGCGTGTTCCTTTGATGTCACTCCAAGGATCCGTGCTTCTTCTTTTTGGAGGATGTGAGATTAGGTAGAAATCTTGCGTTACCAACTCGATTAAACCAACCCCACCAACTAAAACAATTCTTTCTCTCCAAGGAATCCCCCCCGTTGCTCATTGTTTGTGCAGATGTATTGAGCTCAAATCATATGGCCCTGTGCAGGTCGTCGTCCGGTCATCATCGTCCCAGCCCAGCAGAGATCAGTCCCCACCCTACTTATAAATAAATGCACTTTGCTTTGACCAAATCTTACCCTCCCCGATTTACCCATTATTTTCTTCTTTTCATAGCTTCAAGCAATGAGGCAACATGTTTCCAGTTCATCAAATGACATGAACCCGTCGACGCTGAATATCACCAAGTTTGACTTGTGGGTCATATTTGGGCAGATGCACCTGTAGATTGAGAAGCATAAGGCACCCCACCTCTGCATCAATCCATGTGATTCGGGCCTGACTGACTGGCTTCATTTGAGCCATCTCTCCAAAAACTCTGATTACGGTTGGGCCTCCATGTCTGGCCTTCTTTGATAGAATGTGCACGGTTTCAGTGTCCTCCTGCATATGCAAGTCGCAACCTCCGAACCTTTCTTTGCTTGCTTATTTTATTACTAGCAATATGGAAGTTTTTAACTGATTAAATAACGAGCTAGTCTTTGAACATTTATCTTTCCTAATATGAATAATTTTTAGTTGCTGTCAAAATCGAAAATATACAATCATGATCTTGAAATGTGCAGAGTAATTGACGAATCGCCTTGCACTTGTGTTAGCTATTTAGGAGTTGCTATTTTCTTATAATTTTTTTTTTGTAATGATCATAAAAATGTAAGTCATAAGAAGTTAGGTCGTTGTCCAACGTGAAAGCAATATCTTATCAAAGTGATTGCACAAATTGAGAATAACATAAATGTGTTGATGAGCGTTGATCATGGTAAGTTGGAGTTTAATAACATATATATGTTGATGAGTGTTCACTTCTTTCTTTTTCGCTAGGTTTCATTCGTGGATTGGATCATTCATAAACTAGCAATCACGAATTCGCTTAGTGTGCCAGAAAACGACCATAACTCTTATTTCGGAAGGAGTTACGAGCCTCGTAATACCAATTTGAAAAACTTGTTTCCAATCTCTATGCTATGACCAAAGGGTGAATTTTTTACGGCGGTTTGAAGCTGTAAAAACCTTCATTTAGGTGTGTTTCCCAACACCCGTCTATTTTCAGGCCTAGTAGAACAGGCCCGCATATTACCACGGAGAAAATTAAACTTCTAAGTAATTTCTTTTTTAGCAAACATATTATTTTCACATAATTATTTTTCTTTAATATCCAATGAGTTTATTGACCAATGATGAACATGTAACACATGTTACTTATTAAAAAAGCATGTCCTCTCATGCTATACGTTCTTATTACTCTTTCGATACAATTGATAATGTAATCCCAGTACTTCTATTAAATATAAGTGTTTCTTCTCCATATTGTATTAGGAGTGATAATTTGATATAATTACAATAAAAAAATTAACGGATGCAAACAAAAGTAAGGCATTTTTATAATTCGATATGAAAAATAATACGGTCAAGATATAATTTTTATCGGCAGATTAATTCATTGTTTTGCCGATATTCATTTATCAGTCTACTTCTTTTTTGTTTTGCTTTAGTTTGATAAACGAACCAATTCGATGAGAAAAAATTGGTTATCTAAAAATAGAATTAAATTCAACAAATATATGAGCTTTACGTATGTAGATAAAATAATAAAAGAATCACAAATTATTGTTAGCGGTGTTGAGAGAAATAAAAATTGACGTTCCATAATATGTGGCAACCCCTTCTATTTGATTGGCATTGGGATAGATATTACCTTGACAATAATATTAAAGGATTCTTCTTTAATTATCTTAAATTTGATATTTTCATATCTGGATCCAATTAGAAATGTATAATTGAAGAATATTAGCGTGTAAATGTATAATAAAAGAATCCCAATCCTGTACTCAAAAGATAAGTTGGAAAACAGAAAAAACAGAAGATAAATTTGTCTTCAATTGGATACAAAATTAAGAGGCAAACAAAAATAAGGAAAACAAATTGTAGGACATCTTATCTTGGCTGAGAAAAAAAGGAGGAGAAAAGAAACAATTTTACAAAGAAATTAAAAAAGAAAAAAAAACACAAAATTTAGAAAAAGGGGGCTAAGAGGTGCATGGTTCAAACCTTCGATCTACAAGTTAAAAAAATAATAATATGTAGCTCCAACTTGGCCACAAGTGGTGCATCGGGGTGGGTCTTCTCTCTTGATACATCATCACTCTTGATTTTTTCTTTAAAGATTTCTTCGTTTTATAATCTGAATTCCTTTACTACTTTGGGTAATTAAGAAACATGGAGGATAAAGAAATTGTTGAAGTTACCATATTTATTATTATTATTATTTTCTAGTATCAATCAACTTGATGTTAAAACAATTTTTTTTCGGGCAGGTTGGCTAGAGGTTTCCAGTAAAAACACTAGCCCCGCTCGATCAACAACGAGAACATTTCAATCTTTTTATTTTTATTTAATTCCATGTGTTATTCTCGTTATGCATGTATGGGTGAGAATATTTTGGATTTAATCCTTTGGAGCTGTGACTAACGATGGATTTTCGCGATTCGAGATTATTTAGATGGGTTTTTCTATTTTTTTAGTATTTTTATGGGTTAATTTAGTAAAGGTAGTTTCGTAATTTTACGTTTTGATGTTTCCTAATCCTAGTAGGGCTTGGTTTGGGGTTATATAAACTTGTTTTAGGGTTTCTTTTCAGCAGATTTTGGATATTTTTTATTTGATAATCATATTTGGAGGACAATTGTTCTTCCGTCGAATTTTCTTGTTCGATAATTTTTCTATCGCGTTTCGGCATCGGTTATTCTCATTATGCATGTATGGGTGAGAATATTTTTCGGATTTTCTCGTGACGCATATTGTTTTCGGAGTATTTATTTGTTCTTTTCGATGTTTCGGACAACTTTTGACATAATTTTACGAAATACAGATCGAGAGAGTTTCCTCGGAATGGCAAGAAAGGTTGAGTGTTGGTGTCTGATAGACTTGCGGTTATTGTTTTTGTACCCCATTTGGTTATGTGACTGCAAAAGCTTATAATAATAATAATAATAATAACAATAATAATAATAATAATAATAATCGCTAAGTGACTTCATTGGAGGGACTGATTCCAATAATATTCGATCGATGTTTTGAATCTTATTACAGGTCAACTGCAATTTCGTATGATATTGCAGGTCAACTCTGCACAAGTGGGGGTCGTTCAACTAGCTCGATTGCCATGGATTTTATAATATATACCGCATTACCCGATACCTTAAACCAGGCGATCCTCATCTCTATATCAGAAATTTTCAAAAGAAGAGTTTGATTAATATTATCTTCTTCACATGTGGATTATTATTATTATTATTATTATCATCATGTCTTTCTGAAGAAATTTTCAATGTAATTGACTAATTGTTGAGCAGTAGATTAATAAATCAAAATTCGTGAACTTATTTTTTATCTGATTTTTTTTTCTGAAATTTTTTGAATTTCAAATTAAGTGGATTTTGGAAAAAATTTTGTCATTGTCATTTTGTTTTTCTAAACAAATATGCTTCGAGTGTTATAAGCTATATCTGAAATAAGTGGAATTTGAAAATAAATGGATTTTAAAAAAGGAAACTAAACTAAATGAAATGTGAACACGCGTGTTTAAATTTAGTAAATATCTTTCTTTCAAATTGTTTCTCATTATCCAAAGAAGGCAACAAACACAAAATACGAGCTTGTTTTATTGTAGGTCTTTCGTTGTAACTTTCAAGTTTAGTAGATATTAAGCGAAATTTATCCCGATAGCAAAATAAGTTAGCCATTAGATAATTTCAATTCTACCACAAAATGAAGATGGCATATCACTAAACTAATGCAAATCGATCGAATAAGAGCAATTGGTACACTTATGCCATGTATAGTATTATGGTCCAATTTCAATGTCATGATGAGAGACACAGCATTTGAGCTTAAAATGTGTCTAAATACACACAAAAAAGAGAGGAATTTATGCGTTCATCTGAATCATGACAGTCACGAACAATGCAGCGGATTGGAGAGTTCGCCTGCAGACTGCAAATCAAAATGCAGTTTTGACGTCGGACCACAGAGCTCAACATCGAAAGTACACAGAATTAACGGGAGCTGGGAAAGGAGATTGTTAGGATTCTGAAGTGGGGGCGAAGCGTGCGATCCCAATCTTGCAAAATCGTGAGGGATCCAGTCGTTAATGAGGAAGTTGAGCCCTCCAGATCAATCCCCAAAGGTTCCAGCAAGAAGGGGGGGAGGGAGGGGAGGAGTCAGTACGTGAAAGCTGGAGGATGCCAGCTAAAACCCAAATGTCACGTCTCTTGGGCCTTCGAAAGTCGGGTAGAAATCACGACGACCTTACCAGCATATTATATAACATAATATGCGAGCGTTCTCGAACGAGCACGTGAATTTGAAGTTCCACTACGAGCGCCCGGATGCTGCTGCTGATACATTGAGATGTAAGGAACGTAAAACAGTGGGCAGAGAGCGTCGGTACGATGCGGGACTCCCTTCTGTATATCCGTATCCGAGCAAAAGTGCACATGTCTCGGAGTCATCCTCCACAGCTTTTGTTCCCAAGAGCGAGTGCATGGAATTGCAGTGCATACCTACCGACCCTGTTTCTGCTGGAGGATGGGATTGAGAATGGTGTGGGGAGGTGGGGGGTGGGCTTTGTTAAATATGAGCAAAAAGTTAATGTTGACCCGGTGAGGCAGAGAGAGAGAGAGAGAGAGAGAGGGCAACATCCATCCGTCGACTGACCGACTCCCCAAGGTCAGGCCTTGTGGTCCACTGCTCATGGAGAGATTTATTAAACAAATGGGAGAAGGGGGTTGACAACGTCACCAGGGGAGGAAAAGAGGGTGCATAATGACAAAATCGTAGTAATAAACAAACATCAGCAACACTCCTTCCATGGGCTACATACATACATCACTCGCCCGCCCATTTGACCGGCGCCACAGAGAGAGAGAGAGAGAGAGAATACTAGAAACTGGGTGGGGGTACACGTGTGAGAAATCTCCCTCGTAGATCATTATCATCAAGACTCTCTCTTGAGTCTTGGCTTCCGAATCGGATCGAAGATGCAAGCTCATAATTGCCCGACCCGACTCGACTGTTACCCTTTCCAATTCTCTGTCTCTGGGATTGACTTGAGATGAGTATATGTGCTGGGAAAATGTGAATTGGGCAGCGGATGCAGGTGGATCCTATTCCATTTCCAATTCCCATAACATAACCAGACGAACAAGAAGAAGAAGAAGAAGAAGAAGAGGAGGAGGAGGCAGGGGAAGGAGAAGAAGAGCAGATTAGACAAAGGGCAGAGAGAGAGAGAGAGAGAGAGAGAGAGAGAGAAGAAGAAGAAGAAACCAGAAACAGAACACAGAACACAGGGGTCCTTTTTGTTGTTCCTGTCTGTCTGTCTGTCTGTCTCTCTCTCGCTCTCTCTGTCTGTCACTTCTCTTCTCGCCATCCTCTCCCCCCTCCCCTCCCCTCCATTCCCATTTTGTCTGTCTCCTCTGATTCTGCAAAAAAAAAAAAAAAAAACAACAGAAAACAAGAAAAACGCTGCCTTTTTCCATTCCCCGTCTTTTATCGTTTTGCGCCCGTTTTTGGGATCTTCCGGGTGTTCTCGCGGTCAGATCTGCCTCCCCTCTGCATTCCTTCTCCACCGTCTGATGTAGTAAGTCCCTTTTTGACCCATCCGTCCCCTTCCCCTTCGCCCTCCCCCTCCCCCCCTATTTATACCCTCTTCCGCCGGAAGTGGGAAGCCATGGGCCAATGCTACGGCAAGGCCACTCCCACCGCCGCCTCCGCCGCCGCCTCCGACAATGACGTCGTCACCATCTCCGTCTCCGGCGATCACAACCCCTCCTCCCATCCTCCTCCTCCTCCTCCCTCCTCCTCTACTCCCTCCCAAGTCCATCATGGCGGCAGCACTACTCCCGCCAGGCCATCTAACCCTAGCCCCTGGGCCAGCCCCTACCCCCACGGCGTCGGCGTGTCCCCGTCCCCAGGGAGGGCCACCCCGCGTCGCAAGTTCTTCCGGCGCCCGTTCCCCCCGCCCTCCCCCGCTAAGCACATCAAGGCGTCTCTGGCCAAGCGCTTCGCCGGCTACATGTCCCCCAAGCACCACGGGTCGATCCCCGAGGAAGGCCGCGAGGGGGATGTAGGAGGTGGGGGAGGTGGGGCAGCGGCGGCGGCGGCGGAGGCGGAGGCGCAGCATCTGGATAAGAGCTTCGGTTACAACAAGAACTTCGGTGCCAAATACGAGCTCGGGAAGGAAGTCGGGAGGGGCCATTTTGGTCATACTTGCTCCGGCAAGGGCCGGAAGGGCGACCTCAGAGATCAGCTTCTCGCCGTCAAGATCATCTCCAAAGTTAAGGTACCCACCCCTCCTTTTGGGATTCGCATTCTTTTCCGAACAGTACGCCAGCATTAGATAACTATACCTGTACGCCTTTCGTGATCGCTCTCTATACCTATCCATGGGTGCCCGAATCGCAAAGTTAATTTGGGACTGAAGTTGATGCTAGCGAACGAACCAGTACCCCATTGACTTTTTGCCTGATAAAAATGCAGGCATTGCATGATTCAATCCAGGCATGCGCATCGTATTCCATTGGGTTTTCAATCCGTTTACTGCTTTATTCCGACTTCAGAGGTTAATTGTTGCTGCATTCGAACATTAAGTGTGGACTCTAGTTCTTGTTGAAATTCAGGATATTACTGACTGCCCTGTTTTATTTTTTCTTGAATGTAATACCTGTAGCCAATGTTGCTTCTGACGATACGTGACCGTCAATTGTCCGTGCGCTGCCATTGTTTGTCACAATAACATTGCCTAATCGTCATAATGTGTGCAATTTTTCCGCAGTCAAATTCTCTGATTATTGTACTTATATTCAGGGTAAATACATGGCATAATAGTGTCTTGTAATCATTTAGCTGTAGTAAGTTCGCTGAAACTGGGAGATGCATTGTCTTTTTTTGGTAAGGAAGGGAGATGCATTGTCAGTTTGGCAAAAGTTCTATGTACTGTTCTTAATTTCGAGTATATATCATGCTGGAAGTTCTTACCACTTCACTTCATCGGTTTCGTCGTGCCTGATTGTCTGGTCAAAGTATCAGTCCTTTTTGGCAGGTGCAAAGTAGTTTGCCGATATTGCATTTTTATTCTCTTTTAAATGTTATCTAGTCACCATCTGAGTGCCATCTGAACTTTTGTGGCAGATGACAACTGCAATATCAATTGAAGATGTCCGCAGGGAGGTTAAAATTTTGAAGGCTCTATCTGGTCACAAGCACCTAGTCAAATTTTATGATGCATGTGAGGATGCCAATAACGTTTACATAGTCATGGAGTATGTCTCTTCTTTATGTCCCCTGCTAGTTACATCGTGGCTAAAGCTGCTTTTGTTTCTTATTTTTCAAAATAGTTCGTCCATGATGGGGTCAGGACTTAGGATTCTCTTACTTTGGCTTTTAGATTGAATTATTATGACACTTCTATTTAGCTGTTGAACTATGCCTTTGGAAAATCATTGAGAACCAAGGGTAATGAGCCGCAGAAGAAAGGCATGCCATAGATGTTAATTTGTTTTGTATTGTTCCCGATCACATGGAATAAACTGGAATAGGGGAAAGAATCTACACAACTGCTGAGTTATCAAAATGCCTTTGACTATTAGCGTCTGACAATTTTCAAATTTTGTGTCTTATCAGATTGTGTGAAGGTGGGGAACTTCTTGACAGAATTTTATCGAGGTCGGGAATCATTAATGAACATTTGGTTTTGTTATTATTTGCATGGTATAAAGACCTTGAAAAATTCTCTTCGTTGTTGCTACAGAGGAGGAAGATATGCCGAGGAAGATGCGAAAGTAATAGTTGTGCAAATTCTTAGCGTCGTTGCATTTTGTCATTTGCAAGGCGTTGTGCATCGTGACTTAAAGCCAGAGGTATGCTATCATATTCTTAATCTGAATTAAGCTATAAAAGACTATTAAGCTTTTTCTTTCATAATATGAAAATCTTGCCGGGGTTTTAAAGGTGCTCAGAGCTTGGCGTGACTGTGTTTGATCGCATGTGGGCACTTGATGTGTGTGTGTGTGTGTCTCTCACGGCTTGGCTTGACTGTGTTTGATCGCATGTAGGCACTTGATGTCTGTATGTGTGTGTGTGTGTGTGTGTGTGTGTGTCTCTCTCTCTCTCTCTCTCGCTCTCTCACACACACACACACAGAGGAGTGTAGCGTAACATTACACAAACATGCTGTTTTAGACTCCACCACTTACAGGAAAATGCTGCTTGACAGAATTTCCTATTCACATCTAGAAGTGAAGGTGCTGATATGAAGCTTATTGACTTTGGTCTCTCTGACTTCATCCGACCAGGTATTCAAAATTTTTTATCCTGATTGATATTTCCTTCGTGAGTAACGTCCGTATACCTGTATATGAGAAATAAGTAGAATCCTTCTTTTAATCATGGGTTCCATCTTATTAGCTTTCCGGTAGTTCAATGAAGATAATAAAGCATTGTACTTGGCAACTAAGAAAACGAAAAAGAATAAAAGAAGAATGAAGCAGCTAATGGCTAGCTGTCATGAAGTCTTTCATGTCGTGTTGCATATAGTAGCTGCACCCTGTGATGACAAAACTAGTGAATGCTGGTGGATCAACCGAGTATCACATTGAGATTCTTGTCATGAATTAAACTTCCAATTCTTCCAGTTATGAATTGTATTAAATTGGACAATCAATGTTTTACAGGCGTTACGAGGGATTCATATTTTTTGATAATCTTACTATCTATGGAGCATGATTGATGGGATGGTAACTTTTGTTTAAAACAGGTCATGGGGATTTCAACCACTTAAATACCGTGCCTTATTTTTGTGGCACGTATGCATGCACGTGTCTGTGGGCGCTCACCCAATCTTTTGCATGTGTGATGCAGACTGTTGTATATATGTGCATTTTAAAGCTCTCGTAACCGATGTTTCACCTACAAAGTTTTTCTAGTTTGTGTTAGAAAAAGTATTGGAGTAAGTTTCTTTTTTGCCTTTTTCTTTCTTTCTTCTTCTCTTGAGAAGGGGGGTGGGCAATTAAATTTTTGATTTATTAAGTAGCTCTCCCTCCAAGTTAGAATCATATAAGCACTGTTGAAGCTTGAAGGGAATAGTACAGTAAGAACAAGAGTTATACCTTGTACAGTCTTTTTCTCAAAATTTTACATAGTCTAACCAATACTTAGACATAAGTAGAATTAGAGTAGTACCATCAGAAACTTGAACTGTACTGTTAACTGTGGAGAATCTCGTCTTGTGGTTTATACATATCGGGGTGAAATCATGCATTGGCAGGTTAACTTAAGGCTATATCAACGTCAACTATTCTGGCCAATCATGTCCACGTACTCATTGTGGGTTACTGTTGGTATCAGCCCAGGATATTTAATTGTTTTGTTCCAATATGTACAGATGAAAGACTTAACGATATCGTCGGAAGCGCATACTACGTGGCTCCTGAAGTCCTTCATAGATCTTATAGTCTGGAAGCAGATATTTGGAGCATTGGCGTGATCGCATATATTCTGTTATGTGGAAGCCGGCCATTTTGGGCAAGGACAGAATCCGGAATTTTTCGTGCTGTACTAAGGGCTGATCCTAATTTTGAGGACTTACCGTGGCCTTCTGTCTCTCGGGAGGCCAAGGACTTTGTGAAAAGGCTCTTGAACAAGGACTATAGAAAAAGAATGACTGCTGTACAAGCTTTGAGTAAGTCCCTCTTGTAGCAACTCACTTAATTGCTACACAAGTTTTGAGCCTTTGTTTTTGCCATTACCATTATTAGTATGTCATGGGGCCAGAAAGTTGCTGATTTTTATTTTTTTGGTTCACACAACCTCAGTGTTGGAACATTACCGACTGCCAAGAGTGATCTGCTTATGTGTGCGTAATTATTTGGCAACGATCTTTTTGGGTGCAGAGATAGAATTAATTGTTAAATCACTTTAAGTGGCATTGGGGCTGACCTTCCCTGTTCTGCCTTGCATTGAGATCCTTAAGCTCTTTCTGCCACCAACATGAGGGAAAACCCTTGTGCTCATTAATTCTGCCTACCTTCTGTACTTAATTTTGCTTTTATTTTCATGTGCATGCATTGAGATGCTTATTGCAGATGTTTGGTCTTCATTGCTTGCCAATTTAGTGGGCAATGGCAGTTACCTGCTAGGTAATTTTCATCACTAGATGAACAAGCACATCAACTTGTATGTGGAAAGTTAGACTTCTGCATTGACCATTGTGTATATTGTTGAGCGCTTTAACATATGTTATACTATGTTCTCTTAACTCACTGGCTTTAACTTGGAAAAAATCAGATTGATGAGCATAGTGGACTGTTGCTTTTGTTTGATATCTAAAATAATATTTGTGTAATTGCAGCTCACCCTTGGTTGCGGGATGAGAGTCGTCCCAGTCCTCTGGACATATTGATCTTTAAGCTAGTTAAATTGTATCTTCATGCAACGCCTTTGAAACGAGCAGCTTTGAAGGTGAATCTCTCTCTCTGGGCACTTTTTGGGGCTTCTCTGAACAAGTCAATACTGTGCACTCGTGTCTTTCTGTTTGCATTCTCGGATGGCATGGTCCCTCCTGTTTATTTGCTAAAATGTGCAAACTCTCAAAGTTCAAATAAGCAGGTCCTTTTCACTTGCCTCTTGACTGTGACTTAAGTTTCCTTTTGTTCTTGGGTACTCGCAGGCTCTCTCGAAAGCTTTGACAGAAGAGGAGCTGGTATATCTTAGGGCTCAGTTCCAGTTGCTGGAACCAAATAAAGATGGGTTTGTCTCTCTCGACAATTTCAGAGGGGTAAAAGTGCTGCTCCATCCATTAATGTTTTAATGTGATCATTTCGTCTTTTTGTGTGCAAAAGAGAATTATTGGTTGCACTTCATGTGGTCCTTTTCTTGTTCCATGTGTTTGGGAAATGTAGTTGTGCCCCTTTCACTATATTCCTTGTCTAGTTGATCTATTGTCATGTTTTGCATGTCCATGGAAATTGATAGTTCGTGAGAATTCTCTCATTTTCTTTTAGTGTAAAGTCAAACTAATGTGAACGATAATGTGCAGGTTCTTGAGCGAAATGGTACTGATGCTATGAGGGAGTCCAGGGTTCCTGATATTTTGAAAGCAGTAAGTCACTGAGCCCTGTAAAATGTGTCCGTCCACATGGTCCAGCTGCTATTGCTAGTGATTGTCAAGATTTACTGGTCACCGGCTGATCAAAGCAACATTTTCTATTGATTCAAGCACTCAGCTCTTTCTCTCTGTGTGTGGCTTCATGAAAAGAATCACTCTGCTCTCTTTCTTAGCTGCAATGTGATCAACTATATTGTGTAGGATTCTCTTTTGTCTGAAAAAGATGGGATTTTAATGGACAGCGAATGAAATTAGGATCTTAATATACCTTTCACATCTTTGTTTTGATAATTGTTAATTTCAGATGGAGCCTCTTGCTTACAGAAAGATGGGCTTTGAAGAGTTTTGTGCGGCTGCGATCAGCGTACATCAACTGGAGGCTCTTGAGGGGTGGGAGCAGATAGCTTCTGATGCTTTTGATCACTTTGAACGAGAGGGTAACCGAGTCATCTCAGTTGAAGAGTTGGCGCGGGTATGAAATATCAGTCTTTTCAAAGGAAACATTAGCTATTCTTGTGCTTGTGCACAATTTGCTTACATTTATTGGGATTCTCTTACCAATAACTGCAGGAATTGAATGTTCACCCTTCGGCGGCTCACTTGAACCTAAAAGACTGGATCAGAAATTCAGATGGAAAACTTAATTTGCTTGGATATACCAGATTTTTACATGGTGTGACGCTTCGAAGCTCACATGCGAGACAACGTTAGAAATTTTTTTTCTTTTTTTTAGTATTTGTTTCCCTTTGGGGGTTTTCTTTGGCTCAACATATATCTGCCAATTCTTATGGTTTCTGAGGGTTTGGAGGTTTTCTTTCCCTTTTCTCTCTCTTGGAGGGCAGGCAGGATGAAAAAAAAAAAGAAAAGAAAATTAAAGTGGCTCTATTAGTTTAAATGCTGCGATTATTGCGTTTCATTCAAGGTTGAATGATTTTTCCTTGCGGGTGCACTAGCGCACTTTTTCTTTTGAATGTTTCATTCTATTTTTGTTAATTTCTTGTGTGGGGAGAGAGAATCACAAGTCGGGAGGAGTTGGCAACTGGACATTTATGCACCATCTAGCGTCTATTGAGTATTGAGCTAGGTGGTGGTGGGACTTGAGTGAGAGAGAGAGAGAGAGAGAGAGAGAGAGAGAGAGAGAGAGAGAGAGATTTCTGGGGGATGATGCACTTGATCTGTCATTCCACTATCGTGCGTCCACTTTTTGGTATGTCGTGATGAAGATGACCCAAGAATATGGGGCTAATTCCAAAAAAAAAGCACAAACTTTTAGGTTGAACGACAATTTTGATCCTAATTTTTTTTTGTCTCATAAAAATACACCAACTTTAGATCGAATGATAATTTTGGCTTTAATTTTTTGTCTCATAAAAAATCATTAACTTTCACTCTTATCCCAAATTTGTATCTTCATTGACTTTCTCTCTGAAGTTATTTTTGTTTGAGAAAAAAGGGTTATGGTCGTGAGCTTGGCGGCTCTCGTTCATGTGGCGGTAGTGGCGGTAGTCTACAGTTTCATATTACGAGATTCAATTTGGAGATCTTTTTGACTTGCTGGTGAAGTGAAGTAGACGAACAGTTTCGTCGTTATTTTTCAAGTTGTGGCTTATAGAAGAAGACAATGAATAATGCTTTAAATTCACTTAGCAAGCCATGTGAATTTATTGCTGAGGTGGAATAGTCAAGTTGGATAATCAATGGTTCTAAGTCAAGTGGGGTCACATTTGGGATTTAAATAAAAGTTGATGATTTTTTATAAGATAAAAAAAAGTTAAGGTCATAATTGTTACTCAAACTAAAGTTAGTGCCTTTTTACGAGATAAAAAAAAGTTGAGGCCAAAATTGTTATTCGACCTAAAGTTGATGCTTTTTTTTTGGAATTAGGCCCAAGAATATGCATCAGTTGGATTAGTGAGTGTCTTGAGAAATTCTATTATGTAATCAAATTTACAAAGTTTGTACTTTTTAATACACTGAGCCATTTCATAGAGATATTTCACCGAATTGCTATAACTTTGTTACAGCACAGACGGCCATGGCATTTTGTGTGAAATAAAAAGTAGCATTTGCCAGTGTTCGAAATTATATTAGGAATCTAGATAAATTCCAAATATTGCTGGTAATGCAAGGGTGACTGGTAAATTGCTCATATGACAACTTGTTAGTTAGTTAGTTATCAATTATTATACTAAATCATTAATGTTTATTTGATTGTTTTAAATTTTCGAAAATTCATGTAAAGTGACATTTTCTATTGCTTAGCTTACAAACGTGTTAAAGATATCAACTTTTATGTAAATTAACATATCCATAGATGGCTTGACAATTCGTTTGGATGAGTGCGATGGTGTTGGTATAGTTACACAGAGCGAAGTCGTTCTCGCGAGAACAATGCGAAGGCAGGGCCTATGATCTCGTAGCAGTGGGAAGGTTCCAGGATTGTGCTTCTTGATGATGGGCAATTGAAAACAATAAATTGCAGAGCAGTAACTTCTTATCTGGGCTGAATCAAATGAAGACCAGTCGGAAAAGAGAAGTCACGGCTTAGGCGTCCGACTCATTTTCAAGTTTGGACGCAGTCCCCATTCCACTAACCCTGTGGACTATATCATGAACTCCCCACAATTCACCTTCGGAAATAGCAGTCTCTAATGTCCTTCTGTAAAACCAATCTCTGAAGTCTCTTTAGGAGCTTCCCAGGCCACGACCCCTTAGTAAATTTTCGACAATCTCTTCTTCTTCTTGTCTGGGACCGCGCCATAGAAGGCCTTTTAAAACCAAAAGGAAGAATGATTTCATGGAATTCAGGAGATTTTCTCTGTCTCTCATATCTGGGCTTCTCATCATACAAGATCTTTTTTATCTTTTTAATTCAACCGCTTGGTCCATACAGCCATGGTAAAAAGGGATCCCGGTAGACTTTAGGCTGTTTAATTTTTACATTTGAGTTGACGTTTATTTTTACCCGCTTCCAAATGAATTGTCTAAAAGTATATGCTGGGTAAGACCGGCTGGTCTTAGTGTTCTGCTTCCACATTCCTGGAACTGGCTAGGGATGGGTGTATTCCTCCTCCCCGAACAGGACCACCAGGCAAAGCATGCCCAACAACTGGCAAGTTCCAAGACGGACAACTTCTTTGGATTAAACACTCAAACGGCTGAAGGTGACCATATGTTAAGTCTTACCTAGCTAGTAAAGGTTAGAGAGCTAAAATCTTAACAAAAACCAAGTTGGTAGTACACTTGCAGATGACAGATTCTGGTTTGAGAATGATAAGGACATTAGCAAGCTATTTGAAAGCATTGGCTATCATCGCCAATAAACAAAGGAGACATGGCAATTCCTAGATGGGCCCTTCCCCGGCTAGGAACCTTAGGATATGCAGAGAAGGCGGCTGCCAGAAGATTAGGTAATATTTGGTCAGCACATACTGCATTCAGGAGTCTCATGAATTTACTCGTTTGTTTAATTAATAATGTCATGACTATTTGTTCTAACGGTCATTGGTTTCTCTGGTATCAGAAGGGATACTTTTTTTATTGTCTAAAGACACGTCGTCCTGCGCATCTTTATCGTCTTACTTTATGGAAACTCTCATGCATCATGAACCATCTGGAAGAGAGTGTTAATTTAAAATAGGAACAAAAGATCTTCCAAGTATCTTCATCCTTGGGCCAGTATTGAGCTAGCTTGACTGAAATTTGGGTGGAGTGCGTATTCGAAGGAAAAATTTGGTGAATGCAATGCGACCCCATTCATAGTGCTAATTTGATTTTTTAATCCCCATAACGTAGGTCATGTCTAGCATACTCTAAGAATCAGATGATTGTGCTGGTGAGGCCAACTGCTGGTGAAGGACCATGCATGCTGCTATCAGACAGACGCCATTGGACATCATTGAAAAATGAGTTATAGTTCTGATCTACAGAAGTATATAGTTCTATCTAAATAGTATTTTATTTTGTTATCTGATGCACGAACTTTGCATTTTACACATATGTGGTTGTGACAATACCAATCCTAGATGGTCATGAAATTTATTTACAGTTAGTATTCAAATTTGACACGCTTTTTCCATGGCCTCCAAGTCTCACCGATGTTTACAATGATGTGGGTTGGTTCTGTTACTTTAAGGTCCGCTCTTAGGTTGGGGAGTCTAATATATTACTCATTGTTCACAGAGTTGACTTCCTTCAAGGCACACCAAGGCTAAAATAATTATGAATACGAAAGAAAGAAAATGCACAAAGCTGATATCAAGCTGGGTGTGGTTCTTGAATTTATGAAGTCCACAACGTCAGCAAGAAAGTAAAGCTTCCCACAGTGATGGGAGCGTGCCTCCTAATGGCGGGGCCTCGTCATGCACTCGTTAATTGACAGTGCTTCTCACTTCTTTTCTCTTTAACTTCCATGATTTATTGCTTCATCTTTAAATATGATTACGCTTCCCCAGTTATAGAATAAATACATGCATTAGACTAATGCCCTTTACATATACATATCATATGCTTTGGCTTCGTCTTAAGACCGATTGCCATCGCCAACTTCCATCCACTCTTAGCTATATCCAAAAGCGAAACAAACCTGTAAAGGTTCCCTCTCTCACTCTCCCCAATGAAAACCGATGTTGATACCACCCTCTGGGCTTTTACTCTTGCCCCCAAACTATGCGGAGCTTTTATGCAAACGCATGTTGCAACGGCGTATACCTTTCTCCTCTTCGTGGCTTTAGCTTGGCTGTCGATTTCCCTAATTTACTGGGCTCATCCTGGTGGTCCTGCTTGGGGCAAGTTCTGCTTTTCCAAGAGAAAGCCTTTCTCCTTCAGTAACTTCAACAAGCCTATTCCAGGTCCTAGAGGATTACCTTTATTTGGCAGCATCAAACTGATGGCCAACCAGCTCGCGCATCGCCAGATTGCAGCTGCCGCTCAATCACATGCTGCAAGACGGTTGATGGCCTTCAGCTTGGGCCACACACGTGTTATTGTCACATGTGATGCCGACGTGGCCAAAGAAATCCTCCATGGCCCTGTGTTTGCGGATCGTCCGATGAAGGAGTCCGCTCGAAGCTTGATGTTTGGTCGAGCCATCGGGTTTGCTCCTTGTAGTGACTACTGGAGAGTGCTGAGGAGAATCGCTGCCACCCATTTCTTCTGTCCAAAGCAAATCAAGGCTACCGAGGATCAGAGACGTGCAATTGCTTCTGGGATAGTTTCATTGTTGGGTCACCACAACCATCGCCAACCTTTCACGGTCCACCAAGTCCTCAAACGAGCTTCACTCCACCACATGATGTTCCTGGTGTTTGGACGCAGATATGAACTAGATCATATGAATGAAGAAGCGGAAGAACTGAAGAGGCTGATCGATGAAGGGTATGAATTGCTGGGCACACTCAACTGGTCGGACCACTTTTCTTGGCTGTCTGAATTTGATCCTCAGAACATTCGGGCTAGATGCTGGCAACTCTTGCCTAAGGTCAAGGTCTTTGTCAGCCAAATGATTGCGGAACATAGAGAGAAGACCGGTGACAGTGACTGCAGGGACTTCGCTGATGTTTTGCTCTCTCTTCAAGCTTCTGAGAAATTGTCCGACTTGGATATTATTGCTGTTCTTTGGGTACGTAAGCAGAATTTAATATAGCTATGCACAACTCATTTACATTATCTCCACCTTATCTTGTTATACAATTCTAGTGGCAAATGTTCCTAGAATCGAATTTACGAGTACAGAAAAAAACTGAGTTAAGAATTTTGATATCAAGGAATATAAAGTACAGGTGGTTGTACATTATCATATAATTGCTGCCTCATAGATGACAGTTCTACTGTATAATATATGCAAATTGGTGCAGGAGATGATATTCAGAGGGACAGACACGGTTGCCGTCTTGATCGAGTGGATTCTGGCAAGGATGGTGATGCATCCTGAGGTGCAATCCAAGGTACAAAATGAGCTCGACGAAGTGGTGGGAAGATACCATGACGTTGTCAACGAGGGACACATGGCACAGCTGGTTTATCTGCAGGCCGCGGTGAAGGAGGTCCTACGACTGCACCCACCGGGTCCGCTCCTCTCCTGGGCACGATTGGCAACAGCAGACACAATCGTCGACGGGCATCACGTGCCCGCAGGGACTACAGCAATGGTCAACATGTGGGCCATATCCAGGGACCCGAAGGTCTGGGAGGACCCTCATCGGTTCATACCCGAAAGGTTCGTCGTGGGCAAGGACGGAGGGGTGGAGTTTTCAGTGTTAGGGTCAGATCTAAGGCTTGCTCCGTTCGGATCGGGCAGGAGGAGCTGCCCAGGGAAGAGCTTGGGGCTGATCACGGTCACTCATTGGGTGGCCCGTCTTTTGCATGAGTATGAGTGGTTACCCTTGGCCTCAGACCGAAGTAACGGGGTCGACTTGACCGAGGTGCTCAGGCTTTCTTGCGAGATGGCACATCCACTCACGGTCGTTGTGCGCCCCCGCCGTAGAGCTCTTAAGTACTGATGTCTGTATTTCCAGGTAGAAAAGACTGTTGAATGGAACTTGGGGGGGGGGGGGGGGGGGAAGAACTTGTACTCTAGTCTGGTTTAGTTGGTCAATCAGATAATAGCTTTTCATGGTCAACCATATAATATGTCATAATATCTTAATAGAGATGTCAGTTTCTGTTATCTTATTTCATATGGTCTTACGAAAAAGGTGAATGTTGTCTATGTTCGGACATATCATGTGCGTATCATCTCTCTCTCTCTCTCTCTCTCTCTCTCTCTCTCTCTCTCTCATGGGTCTCTGTTAAAGCCAGTATTGGAGAAAGTTAGCCAGCTACAACTACTATGCGGTATGCCTAAGTTTCATTGCTTCCTGATGCAACCCATGCAAAAAAGGAAAAGCAACAACTGCTCTGCATAGCATGTTCACTCCACTCCAGTCCAGAGTCTCATCGCCAAAAAATGGATCTGCACACTGTACACAGGCTTCAGGGGAGGATCTAAGAGAGACGATGCCTTTTATAACAAGAAACGGACAAGAAAGTAAAAAAGAGAGATGTGTTTGGAATCATGTCAACCTCGATTAACCTCTCATGACATCAATGGAAAATGGAGCATTTACATGATTTTACGCAGACAATAAAGTGGTCCATATCAGTGACATATCTCTTCGGTCGAAAAGGTGGCCAACTGTCCCAACCCCATTGGAATTGTTGTTACAGTAACGTCAGGCTAGTAACGCCAAAAGTCCAACAACTTGACATCATCAAAAGTTAGATAGGAATTGCGATTTCTTTAAGTAAGTCCTATCATTTAGTTTAGTTAATCACTTTCTACATGTTAGATTTCAAATAGAAAGTAATTGAATATTCACTTTACAAAGAGAAAGTGCGAAAACCATTTGCCGAAGTGGATTCTAATATTACTCCCTTAAAGCACAATCACCTTCTTGCTAGCTTGATCGCAGTAATTAGGGGTCTGTTTTGAATTTTAACTCAATACAAGAGACTCAAAGATGAAAGTATCTAGACCTAACCACCGATGATCAAACCCAACAATAAAAATTCACTACCATATAAAGAATCACTAAAGAATAGTCCGCTCCAGCCGATCATTTGATAAAGAGACAACGTAGTTTTCTTTAATATAATTCATTTATCTGTAATGCAAATGATGACTTAACACCTTATTTCATCCTATATCTATGCATCGAGAATACCGTATATTCCACTCTAGAGTATCTGCTCGATTAGGTTAAAGAACAAAATCAGTTCTCTGTATAATTAACAGGTCATATTGAAATTTAGAAGGAGGATAAATTTAGGATGAGAGAGCAGGTCGTCCTTTTCACCTCGAAATCTTCGTGCAGTTTGTCCACGATATCACAAAAGATGCGTAGAGTTCTGCATGAGTTATAAGACTGGCCCAACTCGAAAAACTTTTTGTAGATGAATGGTGAAGATACTCTGAAATTGTTAATCCTGTTGACTAGGGTTCCGTATCTTGATCCTTGTCTTCTTGTTGACTATCTGGAAATTTACTCAGTAGACTTTAAAGAGGAAGACATGCACCTTGTGCTTGCCAGAACGTTTGCACCCTGACTTCTGCTCCAAAACAAGAGGAGGGGAGGGAAGGATACAATCATCTAATATTTTTTTGCTTTATGTTATTGAACTAAAACTAATCTAACTTCAACGGTTGACCGATTGGTTATTAATTGTTTAGTCTCATCTGACCTGTCCAACTGAGACAGCCGAAGAAGTAGGAATATACATAAATATAGTGACAAGGTCTAACTCACATCCACCAACTAACTAAATACTAGTCATTCTACAAACAAAGATGAAGAAGACAGCCACGCGAAGCATCCTTGGATAGATCCCTGAACGGTGGAAGGGGAATCCAACAAACAGAGAAGAGGAGAAGGGAGACTTTGCCATGTCTGGATGAGGAAGCAATCATTATGTTTTCCTAATTTTTATACTCTCTGGTCACTTTCAGCGCAAATCACGCCCGACGTAATAGATTGCCCACTTGCCCGATGATAACATCAGCCCTGGTCGAGCTCAGCTCCAACCAGGTCCTTCTCCTAGTTTTATTTGCTATCCAGTGTCACCTTTCTGTGTGCCCTCAGCGGCCTCATCTTCTTTCCTTATCTTTCTTGGAAAGATGCTTAGCTTATTCAAACCATATTTGATGTAATTATGCATTCATTTACAAAGGGAAATTGCCCCCTAATTCTTGTTCTAGAACTTCGGTTATCTCGAGAAACCAGCCATGGTTTAAGTTGATAATTACCTGTATTCGTAAACCTGACAGTTGATCCAGTGATAACACCCGTGTAAAGTTTCATTCAATTGCTGTTAAAGGACCAGTTCCAATTCCCCCTCTGAGTTTTAAGTTGTGGTTAGACATTCATGTTTCAATACAAACTGACAGAACACCCCTTTGGGACAAACCCATTGGAAAGAGGATTAACTCACGTCCTAAAGCTGATCGGCAAAGTAAAGCTTTTAAGTACCATCAAAACCAATTTTACATGCCCGAGTTTGATTCAGTTCATGAAGCCTAGTCAGATATTGTTTATTCATCTATCTATAACTGTCATTTAGATTGCTTATTAGCTACACAATTCTAATCTAACTCCATAAGACCATCTTCAAGCATGACTTCATAGATCACTGTGTTTAATCAGATCAACACACTCATAGCCCCATAACACTCGAGAACATTTTCGTGTAGAAGAAATGAGGCCACAGAAGGCACATATGCAGCCAAGTCCAAAATCTCAAGGCAACAAATGCTCAAATCCAATCACTAATTCTTGTTTTCACCTTCCCGGAACACAATGTCTTGGGGATGGTTTCAAAAAGAATTCTCAATTTCAGGGCCGAACAGAACTCGTGCATGCCCCTAGCAATTTAGGGGATAGGGGGAGGTAACATCTTTCCAAGCGATATATATCAAAGGAAAGGAGCTGAGATGGGAAGTAGCCTAAACTGAGGCGAGACACAATTATATTCTCCAGACATAAAGACTTAGAGAGTACAATTCCGATAGAGAAGCAACACGTCAAGCTAAGCAGCATTGGCGTCATGATTTTCAGCTGCTAGTCACATATATATAACCAGATCATGCACAGTGCAATCTTCTGATGCTATAAAACTACCTGATCACTGGCATTTCATACAATGGCTTCATCTAAACACTCTAATTCATCAGACATCTAATTAGTCTTTTTTGCCAAAGTACCTTAGTGCAAAGGCGACGCCTAAGACCAGCAGCGGAACCAAAAACTGCAAGATTTTTATCACAATCCCAGAAGATTGGACCGGGCCAGAAGGCACTTGTGTTGGTGGAGTGTACTCACTCTTTGCTGGAAGAGTGGAGCTGTCGACTTCGCCAATAAAATACTTCTCCATCATCTCTTTTGCAGAATCACTATGACCAACATCTTCAAAATCATCAGTTGCATCTTTCCCTGCACAACCAAGACAGTGCAATTGATAAATACCAATTTCTATGGTCACATTAGTGCGAAATTTAAGGGACTAATATTCGTTTCACCCGTGTTGTTTAGCAAGACTTCATCCCCTCCAGGATGATCCTCCAGAAAAGGAGTTACATCATAGACCTGAGACAAAGCCACTTGCTATTTATATAATCCCAAAAGAAAACCGTAAATTTGCCACATGCCATATACCAGAATATGGTTCATAATGTTTGAAGCAATTTTTAACAGTGATCAACTAATTCACCATCAAATAAAAAAAACACATTAGGAAAAGAAAAAAGTGGATACAAGGAGTTGTAACTGTATACAGTCCATAATGTATCTGTAAAATCATTCATGTAAATATGCAGAAAGCCATCAAAGAGTTTTCATTCCATGTCATTCTCTAATTGAAGCCCTTTTGCAAAGGAAAAGATCTCAAGAATCATGACAGAAAGGAGAACTCGTTTTGTCCAGACAGACGAAACAGAAAGGAAAAAAGAACAAAGAAAGAGATGTATTTTTCATTTCTATCTCATGTTTTACAACACTATCGACTTGTTAAAAAAGCATCGCTCCATTTTCTAGATTATTTAGATAATTTCTTGTTGGAACAATAGGCAATTATACCGGGCATGCAAGCTCAAACATGGGGTTAGTGAAACTGGAGAATTGAATGTACTAAGAGTGCTGATAATTTTCCACGATATCCACCGAAGTGTTTAGAAACATTCAGGTTTGCAAAGGCCAGTAACACTTAGTGCAATATGCTGAAAGGGGGAGATCTAACTATTGCATTAATAAGTGAACAGGTTGCTCGACCAGAGCAACTAAAAGGAACTCCTCGGAAACATAAATACTTTTCGCCCTCCCAACCAATGGTCCCGCTCCTGGAGTGTTTCAAAAGCTCAGGCCATTACCAATAGCAGCTTCTTTTTTTTTTTTGGTCGGTTCTACTCTATCTCTCACTCACGATACACACTCAGACTTGCGCTCCACCTCTTGCAGGACGTGGGCGTCGAAACCCATATCTTAAACTACGCGGTCCCACCCCTACCCCTGCGAAGGTGGGGATTCGAACTCCCCACCTCCCCACCACCTCTACCAATAGCAGCTTCAATCATCAGGAGAATACGGAAAAGAACCTATAAGAATGAAGAGCCTTGCCGGAAGTCCTTTGACATCCTCTATCTGATACATGTAGTTTAGTCATTACAAGATACAACTAGTCAAAAAAAGAAAAGTAAAAAACAGAAGCCGAAGATAGAAAAGGACAATCGCAAAAGAAGTGCAAGAAGTAGCTTGACTTAGCTCAATGGGGCTCGCGCCTCAAGGAGGGAAGGTTACCAAGCAATTTGAAGAAAGAAGCTACAAATGCAGATATAGCAACCCACCAAGATAAGATCCCTTTTCTACTGACGAGTTGAGAACAGTCTCATCCAAATAGTAAAGGGCAAAGAAAGAGAACCTCAATCAACAGAAAAAAGGACCATAACCTCTGCAAACATGCATCGAGGAGTTTCTCAACCCAATCCAGGGTACATTAAGCTACATGGACGGCAGATCTAGAAAGATTAATACCGATCAAGTCAAGAATATAGCAAGCAACCCGCAAGCGCGCAAGCTGACCGTAGCAGAGCACACACGAACAAGCAATGGCCCAACCGAGACTCTCCACGGGTGATTTGCTCCCGAGTTTCCCCACATTAGATTACACGGAAGCAAGGAAGTGAAACACAAACCTTGCCGGAGATAATAAGCCAGCAATCGGTGCGGCTGTTGTGCTCGGCCACCTCATCGAAGGAATGAACTTTAGGATTGGAGCCCATTTTCCTTCAGTTCACTCGCTGCTGCTTCCACAGATCACTTCTCAATGCAACCAGACTCAAACTGTCCGAAAAGAACAGAGAGACACTGAGGGAGAGAGACAGAGAAACTCCCGAGGACAATATCAATCGACCCAGAAAATTCTTACACCGGTACAGAGACGGATCGTGTCCCAATGACGAGTTCTTCTTCTTCTTCTCCCTCCTCCTTGGGCTGACAGTCCGTTGACACCAAAATAAGAATCGGCATAAACGCTGAGTCGGCTTTAATGCCGAATTTGATGTATATAGAAATTAGCCATCCTCCGAAATGCGTTTGGATAGAATTCGGAAACAGGCTGAGAAGCAGGCGTGAATAAATCATGTCCCGAATTCGGTAACTGACGAAAATATGTATATTTACCGAAATATAGAAAGTCATAGTTCGGGACATTGGGATATTTATGCTTCGGGATGTTGACATTTTCCTGAAATTCTGGAAGTTTACGCTTCGGGAATATACCGACATTATAGAAAATCGGTAAAGATGAATCACAGTCTAGTCACGTAAGTCACGATAGCAAGAAGTTATGAGCAAAAAGCGGGGATAGTGAGCACGAGCATATTGTGGGGAGTTACTTGTCCAGATTGGAAATCATCCCAGCGGTTGAGATCAAATTTTGGCGGACAATTAGAAAGGGCAGTTATTGGAAGCGCCAAAGTTCAAAGTTTGAAAACACAGAAGTAACCGACGAGCAGTTACAGAATGAGAAGAGATACAAATACTCAGAAGAAAGGAAGAGGAAGGACCTCCAACAACAATGCAAAAACACTCAAGCTTATCTGCACTTTAGTCTCCTTTGTACTTTTACTTCCTGCATTTTCAACTTCTTACAGCTTTGTTTAACTTTCGAGTCCTTTATAGCTTTCATAGGAGTATTGTAACATAGCTCGAAACTTTGTTGATCTCAGACCCATTTCCAGTCCATTCGATTTCTATCCGTTCCATACAATCCTGTGTTACACTTTATTTTTCACCACAACTCTCCTAGTAATCAAGCCACAGAACCTACTTTAATAAAAACCGAAAATCGAAGTTTCGGTGAAGGATATTCCTCGTCGTAAAACGAGCGAACATCTTTTTGGCACGCCCGATGGGACTTGCGTGGTAAGATTTGGAGAAATGGTGAGAACTAGGCAATCTGAAGGAATACCGGTGGGTAACGTCAACAATCCAGTTGATGGAGCACATTCTGAGCATTCTGCGGCTAATCAAGTTGAGGAGAATGCCGACGTTGGCACCAGATAATACCTTGGTAGCCACGATGAAAAGGATGTTTGAGGAACAGCAGAACGACCTTACCAATCATATAGTGCGACATGTGACTGATGTGATAAAGCCCATGGTGATCAATGCTATAAATGAGATAATATCGCATCCCGGTTCATCTTCTCAAGTTCCACCCTTTTATGCAAATCCTCTTGGGACAACATCGTTCTCACCAACATCGGGACCTCCTCATGTTGGATATAATGGTAATGGAGGATCAAATTCTCAACCTTCTGTTAGAATTATACCAAGGTCAGAGAATCCTACCCCTGTAAACCTTATGAATGGTGTTAGTGCTTATAATTTCCCTCAAAATGCCCCAAATGATATTAATTTGGTTAATCCCATGGTCACAAATGCACCACCAGTGTTGAATGTACCTCCGCCAGTAAACATGCCTAATGTTGAACATATCAGACCATTTGCGCCTCCACCATATCCTCATGTGATAGAAAACCTTCTTTATAGGCCACCACCACCCGTTAATTTTAATATGGAGCAGCAAGGGGTGAATCGACCTCAACAGTTCGATCCTAGGGGTCAAGAGCCTTGGTTAGGACAGCAAAATTTACGACCATGGAACCCAGATAGAGTTGCGGAATTGGTAATGCAACAATTGGGAGCGCAGAGAGGATTACCAAGGCCAGTATATAGGAAGCCACATCCCGATTAGGTCGATAACATATCATATCCAAGGGGTTTCAAGATGCCAGACTTTGCTGTATTTACTGGAGAGGAAGACCAGTCAACTGTGGAACATGTGGGTCGATTCCTGGCACAATGTGGAGAAGCTGGAACTAATGAGTATCTAAAGTTAAGGTTGTTCCCATTGTCTTTGTCAAAAACAGCATTCACTTGGTATACAAATTTGCCTGCGAATTCTATTCAAACATGGGTCGAGATGGAAAGGCAGTTTCATTCTCAATTTTACCGAACGGTACCAGAGGTAACGGTAGCCGATTTGGCTAGGATGTATCAATATAGTACTGAGACAGTAGATCAGTTTATTGCACGTTTCAAGAAATCCAGAAATCGATGTTTAACATCACTCACTGAGAAGGAGTTCACAGATTTGGCTTTTAACGGTTTGAGGTTTAACCTTAAGGAAAGATTTGAAGGACAAGCCTTTGACGATCTCTTTCAGTTAAACGCTTGGGTTTCCAAGTACGAACACTTGTTGAAGGAGAAAGATAAGAAGCCGAATAAGGACAATCGGCAGATAGTGGCACTTTTTGAAAGTACCGAACACGGTGCTACAGCCAAAGAGGAGAATGAGATAGCCGTAGCAACCATGGTGCTTGAAAAACCGTATGTGTGTCCAGCACTTAAACCGGCTAGGGTGAGAGATGTGTCCAAGTTCAAGGCTAAGGAGACAAATAACTACTCCTTTGATATCTACAAGTTAGATGAAATGTTTGACCTGCTGTTGAAAGATGGAATGATCAAATTATCTGAAGGACAAGTAATCCCGTCAAAAGAGGAAATAACAGACAAGAGATATTGCAAATGGTATCACTCTACAACTCATGATACAGTGAATTGCATTGTGTTTAGGAAGACTATCCAAGAGGCAAAAGTACACCACAAGTGCCATAACTTGTGTACGACGATCACTTTGGTGCCATAACTTTTTTTCGGATCACTTTGGTGCCAACTTTTTTGAAAATCGATCACTTTAGTGCCAATGCTGACGTGGCTCGCCGGAAATCCGATGTGGCGCTGACACGGCTCGCCGGAGAGGTCCAATCAGCATTAAAAACAAAAAACGACGCCGTTTAGCCCGTTGACGTGTATTTTTTTAAAATATTATATTATAATTAATTAATTAATTTTAAAAAAAAACCTTGCGCCGGCGAGGAGCCCTCGCCGCTAGCTGCTGCCAGCCACACCGCCGGAAGGGCCGGCGGTGGTGGGCGCAAGGGTCGGCGAGGTCGCCGGCCCCGGCGGGCCCGACAACCTCGCCTCGCCGGCGAGGCGAGACCTCGCCGTCGCTTCTTGCCTCGCGACCCAAGCGACGGCGAGGTCTTGCCTCGCCTTCCGGGCGAGGCGGGACCTCGCCATTGCACGGGTCGCGACGGCGAGGTCCCGCCTCGCCCGGCCGAAGGCGAGGCCGACCTCGCCGTCGCCCGTCGCACAGGTCGCGACGGCGAGGCCGCGGCTCGCCCGGGCGCGACGGCGAGCGGGCCTCGCCGTCGTGACCCGCGCGCGACGCGACGCGAGGTCTCGCCTCGCCGGATCCGGCCCTCGCCGGGCCGAGGGTCGCCGGCCAAGGGCCGGCGACCCTCGCCGACCACTGCGCCCACCACCGCCGGCCCTTCCCGGCGGTGGTGGCTTGGCGGCAGCAGCGGCGAGGGCTCCCTCGCCGCTGCTGCAACACCTTTTTTGTTTTTTTTTTGTTTTTGTTTTATTTTAATTATTATTATTTTTCTAAAAATTAAAAAAATTCGAAAAAAAATCACGTAATTTCCACCGTGTACAAGTCAGACCATTTTTTTATTATAAATGCCATGTCAGCTTTTTGGCCGGAGTCACTAAAGTGATCGATTTTCCTCCGACTTGATACCAAAGTGATCCGAAAAAAAGTTATGGCACCAAAGTGATCGCCGTACAGAAGTTATGGCACTTGTGGTATACTTTTGCCCTATCCAAGAGACAATTCGCCAAGGCAAGATTAAATTTTCCGAAGACAAAGGCAAAGCCCTAATGGAAGTAGACACAGACCCTTTCCCGAACATGATCAGCATGGTTAATATACGAGAGACGACAGATAGTGACAACAAACAACTTTGCACTCGTTGTCACCAAGAGCTGACTCGGCAAGATCGGGAGTTTCCCAGGTTCCAATACATGAGAGGAACGAGAGGGAGATACAGATCGTGATCGTTTGTCCGCAGGATAGGTAGACCACAGGTAAAATCTGAGATTGTAGCTACCGAAAACTCTTTGGTATAAGCAAGAGAGGAGGAAATTCACCCAAGACAGACAGCACAAGCATTTGAAAGAAAAGATGTTGGTGAGAGGAAGGAATACCACCCTGATTCATTTCAACTAGCCCCTCCAAGTCGGGAACTGGTTACGCAAGTTCATGAAGAAAATGAAATATTACCGAAGTCTGCAAAGAAAAAGAGTTTATGGCAGCGATATAAGGAAGGTGATCCCAAAATCGGATTACTTAGAGAGCCTAGTGAGAAATTTGACTATGTGGTCTATTATGGAGATACGGATGATTATCCACCTCCATCATTGCCAGTTGAGCCGACTAGCTGGGGAGATGAATTTGATGATCCACCACCATCAATTTCTCAGGAAGTCCACAAAAGAAAAACAGTTAAGGTGCCGTATGACCCTCCCGAAGGAAAATGGTCAACAGTTAAAGCGCCAGGATAGACATCTTACAAAACCATCAAGAGGCGTTTCCAGCGAATGAGAAACAGACAAAGGAATTTTGAGAGTGGTCGAGCTAAAGGTACAGCAAGGCAAAATTTACCTTTCACATCTGTCAGCAGGAAAGGTAATTGCGTCTGGAAAAGAAACCCTGATGAAAAAGATCGGATTAAACCAGAACTAGGTGATTCGGGAAGTAGCTCTCACATTGAAATGAAAAAGGGAGTTTCTCAGGTTCCACAGACAATTAATTTTGGGCAGATCACCGTAGCTCTCAACCCAAAACAACAAAGAAAAGTGGAGCAAAAGAACTTGGATCCTAAATTGTCACAAGAAGATGGCAGAAGTTACCGAACTGGCTACTCCAAGATATCAAAGAAATATGGTTCTCCAATACGGATAAACATGGTCCACGCTAAACTTCCAGCAAAGTATGGAACTAATTTGATAGTAGAAGAAGACATCGAACACATTTCAGAAAAGGAGACAGCCATGGCAGAATTTCAGTTCCCCGACAAAGA